CGGGGCGGCAGCGGGAGCGAAGCCAGCCCGTCTTCTTCTTCTTCCTCCTCCCTCCTCCTCCTCCTCCTCTCGCACTGCCCTCCCCATGCTGGCCCTGTGCGCGGGCGCGGCTCGCAGGTAGGCGCGGCGGGGAAGGGGGCGCCTCACGGCCAGCCGCGGCGGGCCGTCTCCGGTGTGGGGGCCGCCTTGACTGGAAGCCGCCGTGAGAGCACCGAGACGCCCGCGGCTGACGGGGAGGTCCTCGTCCCTCCGGGAGCCCGGCCTGGGCTGTGCCCGGGCGTCCTGGCGCGGCGCCGGCGGTGGGGCCTGGCTGACCCCCCTGCGGCCGGGCCGAGGGGGGAGCGGCCGGTCGGCTCTGAGGAGAGAAACGGCCGCTGGCCTGCCGGGTGGGGCGGGCGGTGGGCTGCAGGTGTGCGGGGCGTGCCCTAAGGGGCCAGGCAGACAATAGGACAGGAAACTTTGCAGCCTGTGGGGTTTATTGCCTCAGCTCGTGGCGTGTTTCCCGCAGTCCGCCTTCCCTGAAATAACCTCCGTTCTGTACAACTTCCAGGTGGGCAGGGCGGGTGAGGCGAGGTCTCCGCTGGGTAATTCTTGCACCGAGTATCAGGCGTACCGCAGGATAAATGGGCAGGAAAACAATAGAGTGAGGGCTAGGGCTACAGCAGTGGGGCTCTGCGGCAAGGTGTGTGTGAAGCGAGACCGGGCAATCTGTTTTTAATAGCTTTATAGAAAGGTGTGCCGTTATTTCACGTTATATGAGGGGTGAGATAGGTACAACTGTGTTATCGAAGGGTTTTAAAATACGGGGTTAATTATTCTGTATGTAATAAATACTAGCTCCAAATGGACCCAGAAAACCAGTGTGGAAGAAGGCTTGTAGGCACTTCCAGATGGACTAGGCGAATGACCATCACTGCAGAAATTGAGAGGGCAGAAGAACAGAAGCAAAAGACCAGATTTAATAGGAAATGCGGAAATAGTAGGAGGGTCACAATGTAAATACGTTGTGGTAATGAGAATGGAGCTGAATTTGAGTGTAGAATGAAGAAGCTGGTTACCTCTTGTGGACTTTTGAGAAATGACAGTTGTGTGCTCTACTGCATAAACCTTACCATTTTTGTTCTATTTCACAGCCTTTGTTCAGGTCAAATTGGGATTGAGGGGTACTAGCAGTTAGAAAATAAGATCCAGAATAAATTCTTTTCATCAGGCTCCTGCTGTTGTAAATGAACTGGCAAATTTACTGTTATCGAATCAAGTGCACAACTATTTTTTTTTTCCCCCAATATGCATTTGCATTCTTTTTGTGTAGTGATTTTCACTGTTCTCCATGTTTTGTGTTGATTGTCCTTGTTTGTCCTATAGATTTCTCCAACAAAAAGAAGGAAACGAAAAGAAGGATGGAAGGTTTTTTTTCTTTAGAAAAAAGTTTAAAGGCCTATCTTTGTTTGCAAGTTGTATTTGGAAACTGAAGATACCTCCTTCTTAAGTAATAATAAAGTGTTGGGTATTAATTTAAATTTTTTTTCATCACTTGTTGTAAGTACAGTGGGGAATGATTGCTGCACTTTGTTAATTGTGATTTTTTTTTTTCCAGTTATCATTTGAGTGTGCCCAAATAATTGTTTCACAAAAAAGAGTGATCTTGAATGCCTAATAGTGACCTCTAATTTTCAAAAGTTAATCAGTTGGTCACAGAAATGTTGAATAGGAAAGATTCTCAGCTTCTATTTTTTCCCAAGGGCATCTTAACATGAGATAAAAATGACAGTTCTTAGCAAGTTTGAAGTATCATGCCTTACGTTGAATAAAACTACATTAAGGGTTTGATTTGTTTGGTTAAGATAGGCAGCTTTTGGGAGAGAGACTATTTCCAATTAAATACTTTTCCTATTGGAATACAGAAGATTCGAAGATTAATATTTAGTTCAATAAAATGCATGGAAAAAGGCAGACTGAGAAGCAGATCAATTAAGCAAGCGCAGTAGTCTCTTTGCTTTTTGAGAATATTGATAGAAATAGAAAAAAAATCTGAACAGAAATAGACACAATGATTTAAATAATTTCAGTGTCCTGAAATAATTCTCTAGGATTCTTGAATTCTGGAGTCTTTCTCTGAAAATCTTCAAAATCAGGTTTTTCATAGGAAAATATATGTACATGGACTCTGGAAAAACTAGAATTTGTATGTAAGATCTAATTTTAGATTTCCATCACTGGAAAGAAACACGGAACACTGGCTTTTCTCTCGATGAGGAGGTGAACTAGCAAGAAACTGCAGCTAGGGGAAAGAGGCAGGAGGAAGAATGACATTGGGAGGCAAAGAAACAGGAAGAACTTTTATAGTCACTTTCTTATTTCGTGCTTATCACCATAGTGTGTGCGTATGCTTTCATTAGACTATCAGGTCCAACATCTCACCAATGGCAAGGGCCAGACAGTACACTTGGAACATTTTTCCCTTTCCCTGTGCTCTGTGGTCTGCACAACCTCCTCTGTGTACTGCAGCAGCAATTATTTCCTGTGGTCAAAAGCAACAGCTGCCACCTATCTAACGACAGCAGGCTCCAGAAGAACAATTTGTCTATTGCAGTTTGCAGAAGAGAATTGTTGCCTGGACTGGCTGAGACAAAGATGTCAGGCTCAGAAGCATTTTGTGGACTGAATTTGACCCATGGAGCACCAGCTGGACCACACTAAGCAGTACAATTAATGTCTTTTGAGGACATACCTGTTCTATCATTCTCTCTATAAAGGAAAAAAATGCCTTGCTTGGAAAAAATTCTTTTAAATGGTTTGGTTTAGTTCAAAAGCCTGTAATTTCTTTTACAGGAGCCAGGGTCAGGTACCTCAGAAAGCATGTAAGATAGGATGAACGTTCAGTACTATATTTTCAGAACAGTCTAGGAATTGAGGACTTCCCAACACAAAAAACAGTTGTCCCATGATCTTGTACAAAAATTTGTCCAGTAGTACCTTTTTTATATTGAAACTGCCTCCTAAAACTGTGTTTGATCTCCTCCTGAGTTATGTTGGAGGCGACAGGGGAAAAAATGATCCCTGTTGATTCTGTCCGTCCTCTTCATGATTGCATAAATCTCTGGAGTACTTCTTCTGTTCTGCCTTTTTTTTTCCCCCCCTTTTTTGGCAGGGGGTGTCCAGTATGAAGAATCCGGTCTAGTTAGTTGTTCTTTGAATGGAGTCCATTGCTCACTGCAGCTGATTGTTACTAACTCATGATGACTTGATGGAACAGGAAAATGTTTTGGCAGCTGGGAAAACAGAAGATGAGAGAGTTTATAAGCGTTGGGAAGATCAGACCTGCACGTAGTATGTGTGTGCTTCATTACGGAGTGGTATAATGGATCTTTGTGTCTTGTTCTCTGCTCCACCTTTACTAAATCCTATCGTTTCCTTCTTTTCAGCTGCTTTTTGGCTGATGTTTTTGTTAAACTGTTATGTCTCCAGAATGGTTAGATCAACTCACAGCTCATCACTGTGTATAAAAAGTCAGAAGTGTGTGTCACTTCACATTTATTAAGACTGAAATTCACCTTGTTAGTGGCTTTAAACTTTACTCAGTGTTGTGACATTCTTCACATCTCTTTGTGGCCGTGTTTAGTACACTACATTATCATCAGTAAATTTTGTCACTTCATTAATACCACCTTCTTGTAGATGAGGTATAAATATGTGAAAGAATACAGAACACAGCATGGAACCCTGCAGGGCTCCACTGGTCACCTAGTTGCATTCAGAAAAGTGAGCAGCCATTTCTGTTTATTTCCTAGCTTTTAACCATTTATCCGTAATAGAATCTCCCTTCTCATCATACAGCAGCATGGTCTCTTTAGGACCTTTTGGTCAGCAGTCTTTGGAAATCAAAGAGATTATATTAACTGATCTCTGTCTATTGTGACTTCTTCAAAAAATTCAAATAGATTTGTGAGTCTAGATTTCCATCTGTAGAGGAGAGTCTTTTCCGGTACATGTTATATGTAATTAGATTAGGGAGGCAAGGTGAGGATGGGTGGAATTACACTTGTCTCTGACCAAAATACGATTGTGTGTGTGTGTGTGTGTGTGTTCATCATACCTTCTCTAAGAGTTCTGTCTTTAACAGAGACACTTTATTTCTGCTGTAGAGTGTTAAATGAGTGAAGTTCTTGGCCATACTCATCATGCTGGAACAATCCTTCATGTAGACTGGAACCAGCCTGGGAAGGACTCAAGTGTTGTTAAGTCACTATTCACTCAAAAGCCAGAGCAGAAAGCAGGCTTCATTTGCTTGCCTAGTTTGTGGTGTTGAGCAGGCACACTGTAGCACAGAGCGCTGTTTGGGATTTTACAAGCATTGAAACAATCACAGCATGCTATAACACACTTTTCCCAAGAAGAACAGTGACTTAAAATGGTGCAAGTGAGAGAGATTAGGTCATCATCTGCCATGAAAGCATAGTTTTCCAACTAACTAACTAGTGATGGCAAAGAACATTTCTCATCACTTTGACTGTATGAAACTTAAGATTCAGTAGGAAATCAAAGAGTATTTCAATGGTGCAAGCTGAACTGATTAACTGCGGGTGTATATCAAAGAAACCTTTTGTGTTTACAGGCCCTCCTCAATAGTTTTCTCTGGCCTGCAGTACCCCTTCTTTTTTAGTTGGAGTCAACAAGCTGTTTTTCATGCATTAGCTTACTGCTTTCAAGTACTGAACTATCCTGGCAGTCATAGTGTGTGGTGTTTGCACTTTATCTGCTGTTTATATTGCTGGCATGATAGACATATGATAGATGCTTATGCAGCAGCACCTGAGAGCACTGTAGGGCCTTAAAAGCAGTATTTTTTCCACTGTGTTTCCATGGTTCACCTGATGGTAGAACCAAACAGCAAGATAACCTTAATGAGCACCTCCTGCAATAAGTTCAGTGTAGTACACTTACAGTCTGTGTGCAAATGTTGAAAAATCTCTCAACTTCTTCCTAAGATCCTCCAAGCAAGTTGTGCTGTGATGGAGGTTTTCTGTGACACAGAATGGATTCAGTTCACAGAATGGGTTTGAAGCCTAGTTTAGCAGCCCTAGTAATTTGGGGGTTTGGTTTGGGTTTGCTTGGTTGTTTGGGTGGTTTTTTTCCTAGAACCATGGATACCATAATTTTAGAGATCAGACACTCTGCAGAAACAGTACCCTGACCCTTCAATGTGTTCCACTCCAGATTACTGTGTGGAGGAAATCACCTCCTCTTATGAATGTCAATCAGACCAGTTTCCAAATTCCTTTTGTTTAAAGTTGGAAGGGCCTGGGGGAAAGGGGAGAGGATGTAAGTAAATTGTAACATGTTATGCACATGTATGAGTTCCTATTTAAGGTCTGGATTTGTGTTAGTTGCCACAGAGTGCCTTTTTCAATTACTTTGCTGTTGATGTTAATTCTATCAGAGAAACCAGTAGACATTGGTTGCCAGATAGTAAGGTCATAAAAGAAGCACTGAGGGTAATGTATGTATCAATAAAGATTTTAAAATGTTTGTATAACTTGTAGCTTTTTTTACTTGCTCACATTGATCTGAAGAGCTAAAAGAGTATCTAAGTATCTAAGTTGCAGAGAATCCTTTTTTTCTGAAAGATGTAGTGACAAAATTAATGGTTTAGTGTTAAAAGGCACTAGATTTTCTGCTATTCCTTCAAATGCATCTTGAGAAAAAAAGCAGTTTCTAATGGCAGTTATGGAGCTTTAAATAGGAAGTACTAAACATGCTATCATCTTGCTATAGTGAGAGCTGTCTGTGCCAAACACTTTTCTAAGGAAAATGGCCGAGGAATTCGAGGCATGTATTCACTGTTCCATACACTGTCAAGAGCCAAACAGATGAAAGGACTGAGAAGCGAAGTGTAACAAAGACTTCAGATGTGTTTGTCCAGCAGGAAAAAGTGATAACTTATATTGTGGGGCTATAGTCTCATTTCTTTGGCTCAGTCGGAGTAATGCTGCCCTGTGATTAGCTTTGAGCTGTTTAACTGTACTTTGCTTGTTCTGTCTTGGATTTTTTTTTTTTTTCCTCCCATTCATGTTTTTGCTTTGGGTTACTCAGTCCTCTGCTTACTTTGCTTGATTTTGTCCTTGCTTTACTATAAAATATACAATTACTTCTTGTCTGGAACTGTGAGTCAAAAGTGAAACAATATGGAGATATATTTAAAACTCAAGCAAGAATTAAGGATCTCTAAGTAGCACAAAGACTTTAGTCTATAAAATTTCTGTCTTAAAATCCATCCTGAGAACAGAGACTGACTGCAGTGTATCTTACATTGTTAGATGCTGCTGAATACTCATTGTGGTTTGTTTCTGAAATGCTTTTTAACTTCTTCATATAAAGAAAAAAAAAAGTAATCCATTCCATATGAGGCTTTACTGTTTTAAAGCTTTGGTTAAACCGTGCTTGTCTGCTATCATTTATATATGTTTGGTAGCACTTGAGTCTTACTTTCAGAGAGATGCCAACATATGGCATATTATTCAAGTACTAAATAATTGTCCAGAGGCAAACTGCCAGTTTTTATATTGCCTTAATGGGACATGTCTAGTTTTGGGGGGTTTGTTGTTGTTGTTTGTTTGGTTTTTTTAACAAGGCCACTAGGTGGAGTCAAAACACTGGGACGCTGTGAGTGTTGATTACGGCTACCTGATGAATATGGTCTTGCTGGCTTCCAGCAGGCAGCCCTGCTTCTCCTGCAGCCTGTAAGACTACGAAGTGTTGTTTAACTCAGATCTGCTGTTTCAAAAAATAGAAAGACCAAAATGGTCGTCTTGTTGTTATTAATTTTAAATTGGCAGCTTTTACAAAGATTTATACAGTAAATTACTGATTGAAAAAGTTGTTCATTGTGTTCATCGTGATTTGCAAATCTGCTCTTGCTTATATCCATAGGAATGTCCCCTAAAGTATATGTAAGGTACAGCAAGAAAAGATTGTATTTATTTGCCCTTAGAGTATTAAAAAACTAGAAGATGACTAAGTTACCTGAATTTGAGATGCCGCCCCTCTCTGTCTTTCTCTCTATATTCTTTTTTAAAATCTTGGCTCCCACTTTACCCCTGAAGCTGTTATCCCCGTTCTTTTGTCAGCAGCGAATATAGTTTTCCATCCTACACGAAGCTGATATACTCCAATTTTTGTGTGGCTACATGGAACTGTCAGATCTATTAGCAAGTACAGTAAACTGGTCTGTATATATATTTTCCAGAAATACACTTGTTAATACACTTTATTCTGTAAAATTATACTTGTCATTGTAACTAATACTGTTTAGGTGAAGATTAATTTGCAAACTGGAAGTACCATTAAAGAGTCTTGGATGGACTCATAGCTATCAATATGTAATCAGTTAAATGAGACAGCAGGCTTAAATCTTGACTGTATTATAAAGTGATTATCAGTACTAGGACCAGACTGTGGACAAGCTTGCAGGTTTTTGTATTTTCTAAAGCTGCTATTGCCCTTTGCTGCTTCTGCTTCATAATTGTGGGTTTCTTATTTTTTTTTAGTACCGTCAATGGAACACGCCAACAAAGGGTTGCTTGGTGTGTACCAGTCACGGAAAATGTTTCTAAACAAAACCAGGCTTACATAAATGTTTAATACGTTTAAAATACTGCACAAGTTAAAAATCAGTCTGTAAATTCAATTGCTTTCTTTGTCTTTGCAGCAGTTATATTGGCCACTCTATTGCTGTAACAGAGTATTGTAAAGGTCCTTCTCCTTTCTAAAATCAAATCAAATTTATATTTTCCAGAAGCAGCAAGTAATCAAACTGCAGATTTGTTGGTAAAATAAATTACCTGGCATTCTAGCAAAAATAACAACAATTGTAGTCTGTAACTTGGAAGCTTTGTTTTTTTCTTAAAAATCCTCTTTTAGAAGTAGCTACTAAGCTTTAAGTTGTTACTAAACTTACACTGCTTTTGGTAGAAATTATCATTCTTACTGCTTTGGGGATTGGCAGATTAATACCATAATTTGTAAGAACAGCTGCTTCTGTAATACTCTGTTGTAGCTGAAAGTCCAAACCAAACCTTGTGTGCCTTTCCTACTGAACTTCTAGATGGATGAAGCAGTGCACAAATGCATAATATATTTCAGTCTGCCCCATATGTCATTCCACTGACATTATTAGATGCTATAGGACTCACCCAAGAAAAAGGTAAGCGCAAGTTGCCAACAGAGGCCAGTTGGACGCCTTTTCCAGTTTATATCTGGGAAGTTGAAGTTTCCCACAGTGATACAATTTACTTTAATATTTTCCCTCTAATAACATGTCAAGAGTAGTTGCAGGGCATTTTTTAAACAGTCATACTATCTTAGCTATACTCTTCCTTCTTGTTTCTTTATAGTCTATTTAATCTTTAATTTTGGCATTGTTAATAGTTAGTAAATTACCAATTTTATTGCAGTATGATACATGGAGTTTGGGGAATTTATTTATTTAAAGTTTTATGTAGAGAAACAATATGAAATACTAAGCCATGAAATAAATTGCCAAGATTTCACTTGTGCTTGTACGTTGTCTTTTATTAATCTGATGTTAGTTACATAGGCCCTAAGTACAATCTGATTGACTGGTGGCAAGGTAACAACACATATCAGTAAGTGGTTAATTGAAGAATTGCATGTAGTGATTGGTTTTATGTGAAATGTTACATTATGGGTTTTGAAGGCCCACCTTTGTTTGGGCAATTAGAAAGACTTGCAGGTCTTTCTGAGTTTGTAGTGCCTTTGTTAATCTACATAAATGACTGCTTCCTTGTATCAGCAGGAGGATACAAGTATCAGCATTTCAAAACCAGACAGTTCTGTGTTTTCCTGTCTCTAACAGATAGACAACAACTTGCTGGCATTTATGGCAATCATTTATGCAACTGTCAAATTTGTGTGTGTATTCCTCAATGCAACTAGCCAACATACTAAGAAAATCAGGTGGTGTCTTTTTGTGGTATTTAAAAGTAGTGCTCTGCGGTAATTGGGGAGCCTACATTCAAGTTCATGAAATCAGTTCAACTTTAATTACTGCTTAAACTTGTTGCACAGGCTTAAATTAATATAATCTGTTGGTGCTTTGAGTGTTTTAGTGTTTGTTTCTGACAATATGTAGTTGGTCAGTGACAGGGCTGTGTCTTCTGCATGTCTAGGTCAAGGTAATGAATGACAGAAAGCTGTAGGTTCCCTTTAAAAAAGAGGTATCTGCTTCATAGCCTGCACTTTAGCATAGTTGTCAGCTTTTATGTTGTTCAGGCTGGTTTTTTTCCTTTGATTCTATTTTACTTTTATTTGTACCTTAATTTGGCACATTTCATATTCTTTTTTATGTTCTTGGGGAGGGGTGGGGTGTAGAGTTCAGAGCCTTGAACCTCTTTTTGAGGAGGTTCCCCTTCAGCTCCCATGAGGTTGTACAAGAGCTATGCTAGCAATGTGTGGAAAAACTAGACATAGGGCAGTCCAGTGGGAAGCTGTTTGTGACTTAATGAAGTACTGTTCTTTAAAGGATTTGTAGATTCAGGGTAGGATTCAGTGGTTTTGGGAGGTGGGAAACATGCATTCTCAGAAAGCTAATACTTAACATTTTGCTTTCATGAAAGCAGCTTCATTTATCATAAACTTCTAATTGAGATTCGAAGTTTCAGTAGTCCAATGGAGAAGCTACTAAGGCATTAATGTCAGAACTGAGTTGGTATCAGAGAGGCAGAACAGAGGTGGAAGGAATATTCTTTATTCAGGATTCATTTTGAGTTAAATCATCAATTTGCTGGACATTGATGTTTCTGTAAGCCAGTAGAAGGGAAAAGTAAACCTCTCTCCCACACTGGTTTGGGAGGATTTGAAGAAACTGTGGTAGCAAGGAAAAAAAAATTCTCAATGTAAAGTGTAGATGGAAATGCCACCCGTATACTGGGCTGCATCAAAAGAAGCACGACCAGCAGGTCGAGGGAGGTGATTCTGCCCCTCAACCCTGCTCTCATGAGACTCCACCTGGAGCACTGCGTCCAGCTCAAGTCCTCAGTACAGGAAAAGACAGGACCTGTTCAAGTGAGTCCAGATGAGGGCCGTGAAGATGATCAGAGGGCTGGAGCACCTCTCCTGTGAAGACAGGCTGAGAGAGTTGGGGTTGTTCAGCCTGGAGAAGAGAAGGCTCCAGGGAGACCTTATAGCAGCCTTCCAGTACCTAAAGGGGGCCTACAAGAAAGCTGGAGAGGGACTTTTTACAAGGGCATGTGCTGATAGGACAAGGGGTAATGGCTTCAAACTGGAAGAGGGTAGATTTAGATTAGATATCAGGCAGAAGTTCTTTACTGTGAGGGTGGTGAGGCACTGGAACAGGTTGCCCAGAGAAGTTGTGGATGCCTCATCCTTGGAAGTGTTCAAGGCCAGGTTGGATGGGGCTTTGAGCAACCTGGTCTAGTGGAAGGTGTCCCTCCCCGTGGCAGGGGGGTTGGAACTTGATGATCTTTAAGGTCCCTTCCAACCCAAACCATTCTATGATTCTCTGAAATGTTGTCTTTCATTTTTGTCTTGCATAAAAATAGTTTTGGCTAGGTTATTTCTACAGAATTCCTCCTATAGATGAGTAAGCCTTTTAACAAAAAGTCTTACCTTCAAACAGAAGTCCTGTGTGCAGCTCTCTTTGGATTGTTGGCATTTCACTCTTCTGCTTTGTTCTTCCTTCAGGCTAAAATTGCCTATCCTTTTGTGCGTGCTCCCTGCATTGTATGCCAAAACCTATCTGAGCACTTATGCACATACCAGACTGGTTTTGCAATAAAATTAGTACAAGTACAGTGGCTAGCGTTAGAGAAAAAGGTATTTGGTATACAATAGTGTGAAGTAAACATCCCTTTTAGTGGCAAGCTCTGTGTGTGTTCTTGTATCTCTTTAGTTATGGTTGAAAATTTTGTCATTATTACCATAACAACATGTGATTTTTTTTTATTTTTTTTTTTTTAGATTATGTGACTGAAATAGGGAGGCAGATAGTAAGTCTCTGCCAACCAGAGATCCTCCTATGATGCTCATATGATCTTCCTATGATACTAAACATTGCAGCAAGCTTTACTGCTTGAATGCCAGCTGTCTTTTAATTACTATCAAATTATCTGCCTCAGCAACTACTTCATATATAACTGAGCTATTAATGTAGTGACCAGGTGGACATCTTGTTGACTGTGTGGGTTTCTATTAGCCCCACTTCAGTCAGTTACCTGAGTCTGTATCCTTCTCCTTTATACAACCAAGTTGAGTGCTCATTTGTTGGGGTGGGAGGGTAGAAGCCTGTATTTCTGAAGCCCTCATGGCTCCAAGTCTCTCTCTTTTTTCTTTTTTTTTAATAATGTCAAAAAGATTAGTGAAAAGGCAGCCATTGATTGGGTAAGATCAGTTACATATGTAAACTCTTCTGCTAGCTAAAGCTGAAATATAGTTGATTTATATAATCAGGATTAATAGTACATAAATTACAGTAAAATTACGTACCTCTTCTGGCAATAGTGTGAAACTGTCTGTTTAAAATCCACAACAATTAAAGGAATACATTTTCAGGTAAGTAACAATTAGAAGTTTTCCTCCCATGGCTGATTGTGTGGTAAACATCCTGTATGAATATAAAACTATTTGTTACAATGAACATGACTTTTTTGTGTGTCTTGTTTTGTGCATCTTTGCAGTTCTTGTTCTTAATAATCTAGAAATCACTGTCGGTTTTATTCCTTATTTCAAAAATGCAAATACTGTCTGTTTCTGTAGAGTTTCAGTAACTGTGAGTCTTACTGTCTGGTTTTGTCAATACCAAAGTTTTTATCCCTGTCCAGACTTGGTCATCCTCTAGATAGAAAAGGTACAAGACAGACATCTGATTTATTTAAATAGACTTAATTGATAGACATCTGATTTATTTAAATAGACTTAATTGATAAGGGTAACGGCTGTGTATGGTCCTGCTGAACAAGTTATGGCTCTAAAAAGGACTTTGTTCTTGCTTCTAAAAATATTCTGTAATTAAAGGTCTCTTGCCTTTTTTTTTTTTAATGTTTACTGTAAACTACCTCTTGAACTAGAAAATTGCTATGCAAAGATAATTTTTATACTTTCAGGTCCGTTGGGCCACGGCTTGTGTTGACAATGACATTAGGAGCAGAAATTACTAGCCAGCTCAAGGCTTCTTCATACATAGCAGCAGGCCAAAACCTTTTGAGATGGGACCTGTCACCAGAGCAAATTAGAACAAGAACAGAAGAACTAATCAGGAAGACAAAGCATGTATATGACAGTGTCGGGATGCTTGATATTGCAGAAGTAACACATGAAAATACTGTACGGGCCTTGGCAGATATAGAGGTGGAATATGCAGGTTAGTGTACGCTTTCTGTGATTCTTTCTATAGGGCATTTCATCTGCACTTAAAGAAACATTGAGAAAAGATAGTTTTTGCTTGCAGTTCTGATCCATGCAGTTCTCATGTAGAATGTGTAGGGACCTCTCAAGGGTCCTCTGGTCATAATAACCTTTCAGGACCTCTCAGCAATATATAACATGATCAGCTACAAAGTCCTGCTGCTTTATTCTAGAGACAAAAACAAGGATTAGCAAAACTGTGCTGTTGACTGCTTTGACGCATCCAGAGAACTGCATTGGTCACCTATTTTCTTTTTGCATGTGAAGCTCCACACAGTTACATTTTTCTTTTCCAGCTGTGTACAACCGCTAGGGCACAGTGTGCAACAGTGTAGACTACAGAATCTGTGGTGTGTACAAACCTGATACGCAGTGTTTTTTTCAGACGCTGCAGAATCTGAGACAAGCAAGTCAAATGGAACAACGGAAAGGTTGATAAGCTCCTACTGGAGAAAATGTGAGGGTTGAGAATGGGGGAAGACTGCTTTACTTGCTCACTTTTATATTATGGCCTTCAAGGCCTTGAAGAATCCAGGGAGAGGTATTGGTCATGCAGTCATATCTAGATTGTTCTGGATGAATTATCAAGACCTACCAATACATGGCTGGAGTTTAATGGTCAAACACAGGTCATTCAGTTAATTTGTTAATAATTGTCAGTCAGAGGAGATAAGAAAAATAAAAGTGTGTCTTGGGTAGCTCTGTTTTGGAAAACCTATCAGATGGTGACTGCATGATCCTCAAAAAGTAGTCAGTGTAATAAAATGTCAAGTTCTCTTAAATCCTCTAAAAAAATCTGCAGTAGCAATAGAAGCGCTGAAAACAGCCAGCGTGGCTTGGAACAAAGTCTTTGCCTAGCAATAAAGAGCAGCCTGCAGCTCAAGTGATTGTACTGTAATATTAGTCTGGCTTTCACATACTTAGAATTACAGTTTAGGCACATCCAGTGAATTGACTGGAATTGATACTGGCAGAAAGACTGAGTAATCTTCACTCAGACAGCTTCCTGTCAGATTCAGTTTTAATTATACCAATGTATTTGGTATAATTATTGTAAGCCTTTTCACCAAGGTATAAAACTCTGGTTTAAATTAAATTAGAAGGAAAATCTATGTTTGATTCAGCAAATAGCGGCCATCGGCCTCTCAGCATAGCCACCAAGACTTGCATCTACCAAGATGTACTTTTTTTCTTTATGTGTTATTGCAGTAGTGGGTCATATGTAAGCTTTTAATGCTAATCTTCAAAGCTGTATGTGAAATTAGCATGACTTACCTGTGAAACAGCCCATGGCATATGATAAGGATGTATTACCACAGTAAGACTTCCATTAAAACCTTGGATCTTTAAGGCCTGTGTGTCCTTTTCACATGTACATGACAGACCTCCCCCAGTAAGAGAAGTGTATTATCTGAAAAGACACAGGCCTTACATTTCACTTGGAAGCTGCCAAAACCCACTTCATCATTTTGAAACATCTTGGCATGAGGACAGGAGCGGGGCGTTTGGGGGGCAGTTTCCTATGGACTTTAAGAAGAAACATATGCCCATGTTTGCCTTCCAAAGGTATCTGAAGGGCTGAGAGTATCTCAGGGTTTGATAAACCAACTTCAGATTGCATGAAATTACAAAGCTCTAAATCATCCTAGAAATGTTGTTTCTCTAAAATGTGCTTTTGGGAAGGTGGAGGGGAGTGAAATTATAATTGGGTTTTAATTAAGTTAACTCAACTAAGTCATGACGATTCATTTCTATTTTAGCATTTCTATTCAATGTCATTATAAGATGCAATATTCCTTTAATAAGCAGGGATTTACTTAATCACAGAAGTGTATTCTAAAAAAGTAGCATTACTCAGCTTCTGATCTCTAGAAGTTCAGAATACATAGACAGCATCTTCTATCTTTGCTTTATTGGTTCTCCTTAAACACAGAAGAGAAGATGGGGATTTGACACCGTTCTCATAACAATGTAAAGATAACTTCAGGACACATGGGCCTCTTTGAAAGATTCAGAGCTTTTCACTTTAAATGCTAACATGGAAGCATCTGTGCCAGCCATGAAACAATGGCAGTCTTCAATTACTAATGGTTCATCTTTCAAAAATTATGTATTCTATTTATACACCTTTCAGTTGATTTTGTAGAATTAAGAAGATGAGATAATTAGGCTTGGGTAATACATAGTGTCTGTAAAATGTTTATTTGTTATAATGGTGTGCGGTTTTGTCCTTTCACCTGTTCATTTTTATATTATCTGTAATCACTTTATTTGCTTCAAGCCTGATCTGAAGTGTCAGGTTGTTTCTTATGTCTTCTATAAATATCAGAAGGGGGGAAGTTCCTTATCCTTAAAGCATTTATAGCCTTTTGTATAAGTGTTCATTGCCTTTTATTTAAACAGTGGAAAGAAGCATGTTGGATTTTCCCCAGCATGTCTCACCTGACAAAGAGGTACGCTTAGCAAGTACAGAAGCTGACAAAAAGCTTTCTAATTTTGATGTGGAGATGAGCATGCGAGAAGATGTGTTTCAGAAGATTGTTTATTTGCAGGTAAATCACAACGATATCTGCATAACTTGTGGAAATGTAGATAAAATTCCAGCAGTGAAAAACGTTTCTCTAAAGAAGTTAGTATCCACAGCACTTTTCAAGATCCCCATCACTGTGTGTGTTTCCCCTGTGTCTATACCAGTCAAATCTTTCCAGTGGGACACGGCTATACAAAAAGGCTGTGGTTCCACAAAAACTTAAGCCAGTGTAACTTGGTGCTCCCACAATTTGTGTCTCATGTCTAGGTGTGTATATCCTCTCTCTCCATTGCAATAGCTTTGACTTCTGTCTAATCTTCCAATGAGCTGGTACAAGGAAGCTAAGCTAGCAGAAGTAAACCCATCAGGAAAAATAAAACATATTGTTTCTGCTGGCTGAGCTCCCTGAACTGGTTTGCCCAGAGCATCACCAATGTGTGAGGAAGAAAAGAGGCAATATAGCAATGTATTTAGGTTGGCTTACTGCTTTTGAATTGGTGTCCAAAATTGTGCTTTATTGAAGTAGTGGAGAAACTGAAATTTTAAAGTTGAGTTTTAAGTTATGAAAGTTAATGAGAACATATAACTGGGAGTGACCCCCCAAAATTACCTCTTTTGATCTGCTAATTATAGACAGCTACGTTGTATACACCTCATGTTGCATAAGCCTCAAAATAAAACTAAGTCAAAAGGTATGTTAAACTAGCTTCTATCCCTTTTGTGTTTCTGTTTAGCTTCCCTTCTAACTGGGCACCTACAAGTATCTTGTATTCTTCATTCAGACAGTTTATTTTGTAGCTCAAACAGGAAGAACATTTGTTTTTGTTCAAATGCATCTAGTGACATTTAGTAATAATTTTCCAAAAGTGTAATTTAAAGATAATGCAAGGAAGCTATCTGCTGTGCTTTGGATGTGAATCTTCTCTTTCAACCCCATCGATTTTTAACCTTCTTGTGATGCTGATAATATATTGGAGCCCTATTTCTTGGAGTTGTTGTCTATGCTTTTTGCAGCATTGGCTGGGAACCAGAATAATATTTGCAGGGCCTTATTAAAATGCCTTCAATACCATTGTCTTCTATTGCTGTGTTTTCTAGGCATATTTTCAAGTGTTCTTCTCTAGCTGGGTGGTGGTGTTTCTGTGTTTGTGGAGGTATTTAATAGCCCCATTTTGAGGACCTTCTGTTGTGTATTGGCAGATAGTGCCTTATGTTGATTTTATCCCTCTCCCCCCGTGCCTTATGTTGATTTTTTTTTTCCCCCTGCTCTGTTGCTAATAATTAAAAAGGTTGATATTTATTTATTATTTGCTGTGATTTTCCCCATTCTCCAGTACAGTATACATGGATACCTTTAGGACTAATCTGCCATATCTGTGTATTGATCTGTTTTTAATTTACAGGAATTTCTGATAGTAGCTAGTGAAAACTGATTGCTGTTACTCCCTAGTATTACTTTCTTAGAATCTTTTTTTTTTTAACATCTTTTTCATTTGGTGCTTTCCTACGTCATTTTCCTTTGCAGCAATACTTGGCTTCATAACAGTTACAATAGTTGCTTAAATCTCCATTTAATTTTTTTCAGAGATTTTTCTTGGCTTACCTCAGCATGCAAGCATGTTTTAGTATTAGTTTTCCAGAGATGCAACCTCTGAGCATGTATCAACTTCGTAATAACTATGAAAGTAGTAGCAGTTTTTGCTGTAGAACAGATGTGAAATTGCCAATAGTGCCAGACTGATCAGTTCTTGCTATTTCCAAATCACAAACTTCTTGTTAATTTTTGCTAAATTTCTAATGCCTTTTGTTAGAAACTCTTAGGTGAAAAGTCCGGTTCCAGGAGCCCATAAAAAAAAGAGACTTCCAAAACCAGAAATGTTTTGCTGAAATAATTTTATCAGTTTAAATGAGCCAGCAAAACATTTTGATTAAATCAGGTTTTTCATGGCTTCACTGAGGATTTAATAGTTCAGGTATATGAATTCAGTTTCATGATCCAGCACAGGGGCCAGATTAAAATGTGGTGAGGAGAATAAGGGCTGTCACACTCCCATGTTATTTATAATACAGTCAGTCCACTAAAAGATGATTAAATCTGCTTGATCTCAGTGACATCCTGAATGTTTTTGCTCCCTTTAACAAGGACTACACTTTTCTAAGTTAACAACTGTTTAGTATTCTTTCTAATTTCTGTTTTATTTAAAACCTGTTGGTAGTGGAAGATGTGTGAGGTTTTTATATTTAATTAAAAAAAAAAAAACAACAAAAAAACAAAAAAACAAAACCTGAAAATAATCTAGTCTCTTTCTTTTCTCCACACATTAGGGGAAAAAATTCCTGCATAAATTTATGTTGTTCAATATGCTCCAGATCTTATTCTTTAGAAAACTTTTGTTTTGGGGTCTGAAACTTGGAATGAAGGTGAATTTGGTAGTGAAACTATAATTTTAAATTTTATTACTCCTAACATCTGCACATGTTGGCTAGCAGAGGCATGCTTAAGAATGTTGCCAACCTTCTCCACCCACATGCCCTCAGGAAACTCAGCCTGATGTAAACAGCTGCTGCAGTTTTTGTTCATGATATTCTAAGTAGGTTTTGTTTCTTACTCTGCCTGAAGATTTCTTCGTAGAATAAGGTAGCATGGTTGTCCAAAACAAGTACAAAATGGTATATAAAATCATCAACCATGACCATCCTAAAACTTTTGGAAAGTTCCAACATTTCATGTGTGTAGTATATTCGAAATTAGCGCTTCTGTTGCAGAAATTGTTCATCAAAGAAACACAGGATGACATAGACCATCCTGACCAGACTGAAATTCAGAGATGACCACAGAACACCCTTGGTTCCTGCACCTATGAGGGTTTATATGCTTGCTTATCCTTAAAGATCTGACAGGTCTTTTTGAATGTGTGTCACCCTTATCTTAAGCATGTCTGTGATGCAGATAAACTTTACAAAGGCTAATATTAAGACTAGAAGCTATTTAACATTGATTTCTTTTGAAGTGTATGGAGAGATGTGTAGTCATCAAGAGAAAGATGAAGAATACTAACTTAGTTTTTTCCTCCTTTTTCCTAAAAGAATCCTTCTCTTAGCTTTAGAAGGAGCTAATATTCATTGCATTTAAGGGCTTAAAATTAGTGTTTGTGAATTCCCATCTGCCTAAAGTCTTTGCTAGGTTTGGGCCCAGGAGATGACAGTTCCATGTGCCCAATGGAGGGGCTGGGAGATCCCACACAATACCTGAATAAGTCAGTGACACTTTTCACAATCCTCTGTCCTTAACTGTGACTGTAATAAAACCAGTGTCTTTTTATAGAGTTTAGAGTACTCAATTTTTTTTTCTCAGCCATTCTGGTTTTGAGCCTTGCAGCACAGTTAGCACAATATAAATGTTCATGTAGTGACTATATCTGCATTTTTCACCTCTACCATTTTGCAGTCCTGTTTTTTCTGTCACACTGGCCTTAGGTCAGAAAAAAGAACCCTGGAATTGTGTGTTGTCCTGTGGAAAAACAATATGTGAAAATTCTGATCATTACAAATATTTTTGTACTCAATATCACAGCATTGATGCTCCTAGCATAAATATGCTCCAAGCAGTGCTTGGTAGCATAAAGAGAGTATTCTTTGCCAGAAGCAGAGCAGGAAGCCTGAGTGTTGTAGGGAGTAGGGTAATAGCATTCTTTTATCTTTGTGTTGGGAAATATTCTGTGTGGCTTGCCTTTTGCAGTTATCACAAATGAGAATGGAGATGTGAGGTTTGACTTGGAGAGGACAGAGGGCATGATTTTCTTCACTCACTTTCTTCCTCAAAAGAGATTTCCACTTTTTACACCCTTTTTTTAAAACCCAACCAAAAAAAAAAAAAAAAAAAAAAAGATGGGTGAGTGCTGCAAAAGAATTGTAGCCATGCTGAAGGGTACACCGTGCAATCACATGGCTGAGTCACCATTGACTTTAGCTGTGTGGTGACCTATAGTAGTTAGATCATCCTTTCATGAGTCTATGGATTCTTTTAAAAATTACCTGTAAACAGATAAAATTAAAAACATGCATCGTTCATGGGAAGTATTAGTATCGGAAACTAAGTTAAATGTGCCTATTGCTTTAGAAAAGTTAGCTTATCGGAAAGTGAAGTGATTGTTGTCATTTTTTTTCACTGGACCTTGAAATTCTTGTGTATAGACTATTGGTATATGCACAAAAGTTTTAGGCACAATTGTACTAGTGCTTAGCAGTCCTGCTGTAGCACAATGCTACTGGGACTTGTGACTCTTTGCAGAGTGAAAACAAAGCTAAACCATTCGAAGTTCTTTCATGGTTCTAAAAAACAATTTCCACTGATACTTTTTTTTTTTTTGTAATCCTATTTGCGGGGCACTGGTGGGAGTAGGCATTGTTTATGTGTTGTTGTGTAGATTATTTTTAAGTGACAGTTGGGAAAGTATCTATTTCAGAGCTTTTATTCTTTCTTATTTTCTCTTGGAATACGACTAGGTTCCTGTCTCTTATTTTTTCTGTTTAAGGAAGAGAGGTAATTTGCACTGGCAGGTCATTAGTTGACAGCTGTACACAGTTGTGTAACTCTTTCATAGAATTTGCATGTTTCAACCTCCTTACTTTTCAGAGGTGCTAGTCAAGAATTAATTGTATGTAGGTAAGCTGATGAGAGAGTTGTTAAGACAAGTCAGAGCTAATTCCAACAGCTTCATATTTAAAGGTGAAATTAAAAAGATTATTCATTTTTAAGAAGGACTGTAAGTTAATATGTTTTTTTTTTAAATGTTCACTTTTAGATGAGGGGAAAAAAATTAGAATGTGTACAGCATTATTTTCAATTTGGAACAAAATGGCAAGTTTCTGAATTAAGCAGTTATGCTGAAGTCATTTGAAGGAAGACCCTCACAGGGCTGATCCATGGTCTGTTACAACCAGTATCTTGTCTCTTAATGTTGATTGCTTTAGGAATGACCATTCAAGAATCTTCGTAATGGCATAACCAGACATAGAAATACCATTTTATTTGTTGTCACTGATTGATTTCTTATGAAAGAGAAGATGTATGTGTTCAAATTTTATGCCATCTGATAACCTTCAGTGACACATCTAATCTTTTGGGGTTTTTTAATCCTTCTAAGTTTTAAGGTACAGTGTTACCTTATAGCACTGATTTACTTCAAGTATGTGTAAGAAAACTATCTCTACAGGAAAATTTTGAGTGCGCTGTACTGTAACTAAAGGGGCTTGCCATTATGACAGCATGTAAATGTGCCGGGATACTTGGTAAAAGAAAATTATTTTAAAACCATGCTACATCAATATAAGAATACTGTTGTATAAGGTAACTGTTTTTGGCAAGTCCTACACACTAAAATCTGGGATGTTCCTTTTTTACTATGGTGGTGTTCTTTAGAACAACTCTGTTCAGACCTTTTTAATGCTTGGTATGTTTCTTACACCATGTCGTAAATTCAGTTATTCTGTACTGTCATTTCAGCAAACCTGCGATCTTGAAAATGTAAAGCCTGAAACAAAGAGATATCTGGAGAAATCAGTTCAAGTGGGAAAAAGAAACGGACTCCATCTTCCTAAAGAAGTGCAGAATGTAAATATGGACTATTAGTTTATAAAGCAAAGGTGACAAACTGTCCAAGTGATGAAGTTATGGTTGTATAGCTGTACCAAGCATATATTTGAACTTCGAGCTTTTGGGCCTGCTTGATTACTGCTCTAATCTTAAGTGTTCTTAGTTCCAGATCCATCCTTTAAACTTCAGTCACCTTAAGGGTTTTAAGTTAATCTAACACCCACAGTACTTAATGGATAGAGGTGGTATGCATCACCTCTCTTAGACTTCCAGACTAGAAGCAGCCTATCTGGAAGACTTTTGTTATGTATTCTGATTACAGAGAATGCCTAAATTAGATAGATTTCTAGCCAAGAGACCTCAAAAACATTACTTGTGAGTCCAAGCTTCAGAAGTTTGTATAACTGTTACAAAGACACAGCTATTTTAATTTCAGTTATTAACCAATGCTGTAAAATGTTTCCAGGATTTTAGCATTTTGACTAAAAAACACTTGAGGTAGCTTAAAGGGAGCGCAAGCCACGCTGAGAATTTTGGCTCCATTTAGAGAGGATTTACCAAGCATATAAAAGCACTTGTCACTTCTGAAAATCATGAAGTAAAATTGTCAGCATCTGAGATGCTGACATAATTATCTTTAAATTCTGAGTGATGTTGTATAATAATCTTGATTTATGACTCTTGAATACACTTCACCCTTTGTAGAAAATAATCATTCTTCATCAACATCTTCAGTTAGTGAGAACAGTTTCCTGTTTATTTGCGTTGCTCAAGGGCAACTGATGCCTCTAAAGGAGTTTTGAAATACTTTATAAGGAAACAATAGTTGAATTACATTGAAGTAAACACTTTTCTAATCATAGTCTCTGCCAAGTTTTGTATTTGGTGTGTATTCTTCTACTGGTAACTACTGTGTTCATGTGAACTTGATAGCAAGGGGTAGAGACATGCTATGAGATATATAAGAAAATGTTTCAGGTGGATGAATATCAGGATTATAAAAAAAGTTTTGGAATGGTCCTGTCTTGTGTGAGTATTCTCTTCTTTTTGTCATGCTTATATAACTCCAAAGGACTGTTTTTCAATAGGTTGCATGCATTTTTACTCCCTTGATTCTTATTGATTTTAGTGGATATTTTTACCCTTAAAATTGTAATTTAAGATTTTCAAATAAAAGAAAATAATTGAATGTAGCACATAATGCTGTTCAGAGAATGTGTTTATGTGTTCAATCCCCTCTGAGTTGAGAACACATTTGAAAAGTTGTCAGAACAATAGCCAGGACCGAGGGTTTGTTGGCAACAATATTGCTCAGGACCAAAAGAAAGATAAAAGGGAGGCTGAGGGAGAGTGACGTATGACACTACCTGCAGTGTGTTACTTGCTCAGTGCTGGTAATCATTGTTGGCTAGTAGAGAGCCTAGCTGGAAAAAGTAAAATACTATTCATGTGGAGGATAGTAAATGCAAGTTTGATTTTTGTTTTTCTACTAAGTTCAGTTTATGCCTGATACAGGAAATAAAGACAATGAAGAAAAAATTGAGTGAGCTGTGTATAGACTTTAACAAAAACTTGAATGAGGAAAACACATTTCTTCTATTTTCTAAGGAAGAACTTGGTGAGTAGTATGCTTGCTCTTCCCATTTCTTCAACCTTGCAGTTTTACTGGAGTAATCATTTTTGGCCCAGTGAATGATGGTTAGATCAAGTGAAACTCTTGACTGTTTTCCAATCTTTTCTGTTTCCTTTTTAATCCTTTACCAAGGTCAGTTTAGAATTACCCTTTGCAGGTGTTTGATTTCTTCATAGATTTGTGCTTCCTGAAGTGTTTGCCATGCATCAAGTTCGCATATCTGTCCTACCTTTTTTTTTTTTTTTTTTTTTAACTTTACTCTTCTCTGCTTCTTTTCTGAGTTCTCCACCATCAGGCAATCTCCTGTGTATTATATTCATTGCAATTATTGGAAAAACTGTTCTGTCTGGCAATATATTTTAGCTACTTCAATCATTTAAACTGATCTAGAGATTTTATGTAACAGAATTTTGGGATTCATTATCTGAAGGGTATGGCATAAAATGTGCTTTAATAAAACCAGTGATTTTATTTTTTTATGTCATAGTCTGTTTTTATCTGGTAGCCTTACATATATTTTTTTATTATTATTTTGCTTGGTTGTGATTTGAAAAAGTTTTAGTAAATAGTTGTAAAAAGAGGGATTATATTTCCATGGAGATTTCTGATGTCAAATTAGATTGCTGCAGAACAAATGCAACAATCTCACAAAAAGAGAGGGGAGTAAGTAATTCTGGTAAACATTGTTTATTAAATTGTGTTCTATAGAAGGCCTTCCTGATGACTTTATTAAGAATTTAGAGAAGACTGAGGAAAACAAATATAAAATTACTTTAAAGTATCCCCACTATTTTCCTGTCATGAAGAAGTGCTGCATTTCGGAAACCAGGAGAAAAATGGAATCTGCCTTTAACTCGAGGTGCAAAGAGGTATGTCGTATATTGACTGTTCTACAGGGTGATGACAGAGTTGAAAAATGGAGCTACATATTCAAATGTTAGATTTGAGTTCTATGTATTGTCTAGTACTATGAAATCAAAACTTATCAGTGTGATCTTTAACTGTTCCTTGCTCCAGTTTATTGTGATGTCTAAAGACCCTAGAAGTTGATGATATGCCTCTGTGTGTGTACATATCTTAAAGTTTCAGTGGTGCTGTAAATAGAAATAGGATTTTGATCTTTTGCCAAATTTCCCTACAGTGTTCTGCAGCTGCTTACTGGCACTTTCCTCCCAGAGAAGGATTTCTGACTGTAGCTTCTGTAGTACTTTGGGATTCTTCAGAATAAGAAGGGTTATTTAAGCACACATTTTAATTATGAAATACAGGTGATTAAATGTGAAATTAACACATTGCATATTGATAAGAATTTCAATTAGATTTTTAGAAAAAAACTGATTTTTATAAAAGATTCATTTAATTTTCTGAAAAATAGCCAGAAACATGCCTTATAAAAAGAAGAAATAATTTCACAAATAATTTGTTTGATACTGATGAGACCAGGCACCTAGATAGGTCTAAAATAATGAAAAAGTATGGAAAGGATAGAAGTGTCATTCAGGCAATTGTACCAACCATTCATTAGAGAACAATGGCAGAGTTGAGCTTTTGTACTTGAAGTGCTAGGAAATGTGAAGAGTACAAGATAGAATAAAAGGGCACCAAGAACTGAAAACTCTGCAAGTCAGCACACTTAAAGGGATTTGCTGTTAAAACTGTGGGACAATCTTCAAACCTAGTGCTTGAAAAAAAACGTTTTTCCATGAGAAATCACACTTTTCCAGGACAGGAGGTTAACACAGTTACATTTTCAGCTTCTCAAGTATCCTCCACCGCATTTAGGTCAGGGCCTGGGGTTTTTGTGTTTCAGATCTTTTTCTCTGACTGCTTTTGTCAGTGGCAAAAGAGGCAAATTTGCAAACAAGCTTTGAATGTTGGCACAATAGCTTTGCAGTCTGCCTTCACCACTAACAAGCAATTAAGCCTGCTGTCAGCCATTTCCCTGTTATCTTTCACATTTAAATAATTGATAAAGGAAATAAACTCTTTGCAACCATCAAAGATTTGTTATTATCCTAAAAGGAAATGATATATATCTTGATTAATAAAAAAAGATAATAGGGAGAGTAATGACTGACTAGAAAACTAGCTAGTGGCAATCAAATACTGTGACAAAAAAAATTATAAGAATCTAGCTAGACTTACCTTACTCTACATTTATATCTTAAAGTGTTTCATTTTAAATGTTTGTTATTTCTTATGATTACAGATATTATTCAGGTAATTGTTTTGATAACATGCGTTTTCTGGTTTCACTTTACAAATTTGCCTCCTTTCTTTTTTAGGAGAACACAAAAATTCTTCAGGAACTGCTTCCAATAAGGGCAAAAGTAGCAGAGCTTCTTGGTTATAATACACATGCCAACTTTGTCCTGGAGGTAAACACTGCAAAGAGCACAGATAACGTAACAGCCTTCTTAGGTTTGTTCTTATTTGTAAACAATACTTTCATATTTGGTGTGGCAACATGACTCCTCAGCCAAGATAAATTTAAATACATAATTGGGTCACAGTGTCCGTCATGTTTAGATAGAAAAGGAACTCTCTGTTGCCTCTGTTCTGGCATTTATTTTTTTTTAGACCATACCTGTACAAATGCAATTGCTCCAAAACAGGGAAGCACAAGACAAAAATCTGAAAATAACGACTTTGTAACAGCCCATATAGGTAGGCAGTTATGTCTTTCTCTGCCCCAAAATGCAGTTATTCTACTCTGGAACCAGAATAACATGTGCAGCCTAAGCAATTTTATCAGTTCAAGAGGCTGCGTCATAGTTGCAGCTTTTCATTCCCTTAGGTCAGCTGCAATTTTTTGTGCATCTGTAGCCTTAGTGTCTTCTTCCAATACAACTGCATTAAGTATAATGAAAGATTACAGTATGTGATGATGCAACTTCCATGAGCTGAATTAAAAAATTAAATCTGGAATGATAGATTATATCTGGAATTCAGAAGCCCTCTAATGGATTTCAGTCTGAAAACAGAGATATCTTGAAAATTTTAAACTGAGCAGTTTATGAATTTATAGTCATCCTGTTGACCTCAGTGGGCCTGCTCTTGTGCATAGAGTTAACCTCTACTTTCTGGAATTATATAATTCCACAAAATAGTATGTCTTCCTTTATTAATGTGTCCCAACACCACTTAGGATTGTATATTGATATATCCTATAAATAAAGCCTTCAAAATAGTTTATTACAGCAATAAAGTCTGTTTGGTGGTAGTGTTATTAAGATGTTACATGATTATATTCATTGATAACAATTTCCCCCCTTTGAGACTTGTGAAGTCTTAACATACTTCTACAAGTCTCATTTTCTGTCTCTTATCATTAATACATACAATTGAGATACCTGTCTTACAATGATACTCTTAAGACATCCAAACAAAATACAAACAAAAATCACTGTATCAACCAAAATGATTAGGTTCTGTAGTAAACTCTATAACAATCCAGTCAGGGCGAATCTAAATCCATGCAGGATTTTATTCAACCACCCTGTCTCCATTGTCTCTCTTACATTTCTACAAGATTACTTTACCACTGGACTGTGGATTCCAAGGGGTATGCAAATCCCATTTAATACCCCAAAATCTAGAAACTCCTTGTACTATTTCTGCAACAAAATGGGGTCCTTTATCAGAAGAAATATCTTGTGGAATACCAAACCTAGGGCTAATTTCTTTTAATAAGGCCTTAATTACTTCTCTAGCCTTGTTGGTACAACATGGAAAGGCCTCTGGCCAACCAGAAAAGCTATCTACTATCACCAATAAGTATTGGTATAAATTACACCTTGGTAGTTCTGTAAAATCTATTTGCCAGTATTCCCCAGGAGTTATACCTTGTTTCATAACTCCTTCTATAAACTTCTTGGTAATTTTTGGATTATTAGCACAACAAATACTACATCTTTTAACTATGATATCTGCTAGATTTTGCATTTTTGGTCCTATAACATATCTTTTGGCAGTCAACACCAACGCACCTGCTCCTGAATGTGTTTCTTGATGCAATCTTTTAAGTAGATTTTCCATCATCTTTTCAGAAATTGCAATTGTTTTAAAAGTGTCACCCGCCATCCCCGATCATTTTTAGAACAATTAGATTGTTCTGCCAATTGATCTTTCTCAGTATACTGTGGAGACAGTATTCTAAATGAGGTGCTGGAATTAAGGCTTCTTCAAATTTTGGCCCTTTTAGAGCTGCTTCCTTTGCCACTTGATCTGTTTTTCGATTTCCCTTTATAATATCACTGTTCCTTCATTGTTGGGCTTTATAATGCATTATTACAGCTTCGTTCAGCTGAAGAACTACCTGTAAAAGTTTCATTATTTCTTCTCCGTATTTAATTGGGGTTCATTGCGAGGTTGAAAGTCCTCTTTCTTTCCAAATTGCTACGTGTGCATGCACCACTCCAAAAGCATACTTAGAATCAGTATATATATTGACTCTTTTTCCTTGGCCAAGTTCCAAGGCTTGTGTTAATGCTACCAATTCTTGCTTTTGGGCAGAAGTGTTATTAGACAGAGATTTAGCTTCTAAAATTTGAGTAGATGTTACCACAGTATATCTAGCTTTTAGCCTTCCTTTCAATACAAAACTGGTCCTATCAGTAAATAGCTCCAACTCCGCATTAGGCAAGGGTTCATCCTGCAGACCATGTCTAGTGGAATACACCTGTTCAATAGTGATCAAACAGTCATGATGCATCATTATTACTTTGCTATTGTTCTAGCTCTTTAGCCAGTATGTTACCGAACAAGGTGGAGCTATTCTTGAATCCTTGGGGAAGAACAGTCCAACATAGTTGCTTCTTTCACCCTATACTTGGATTTTCCCACTCAAAGGCAAAGATGGCCTGGTTTTCCTTATCCACAGGAATACAAAAGAAAGCATCTTTTAGGTGTCCAACACTGTAAAATCCAACACTGTAAAATAAGTATTAAGCAAGGAGAGTGTATGGATTCAGAAACACAGGGTAGACATCTATTGTCCTCACATTCATTTCTCATAAATTCTGTACCAGTCTATACTCTGAAGAACGAGGTTTCTTTTACAGGTAAAATTGGAGTATTATATTCTGACTGGCATTCTCTTAACAGCCCATATTCCAAAAAGGAGCTTATCATAGGTTCTAAAGCCCCTATCTAAGCCCCTTTTGGGCTTCTAGCTTAATAGGCTATTGTCTTTTTCTTACTAGCTGGGCTCCCAGTTTAAGTTCAGTCATTATTGGAATTACATTCTTCGCTCGTCTGGGTGTCTTTGTTGCCCATACCAAAGGTATAACTGTGTTTATTACTTCTTCTGGAATATTCGTTTCTTCGCCAGGATTCTTTTCAGTTATTAAACATATTTGGGCTTTCCAAGCCATCTCTGGAGGAATATGCAACTGAACGGAGTCTTCAGAAAAGGTTAGTTGTGCATTCAACTTATAAAGTATGTGCCATCCAAGCTGTGGAAAGGGGCATTCTGGCATACAGGGAAATTCATGAGTTAATTTAGTATCACCAGTTGAACACTCCATAGCTTTTAAAAATGGTCTTAAGGTCTTTTTCCCTGTTGCACCAACAACATTTATTTTAGTTTTACTTAAGGGCCCCTTACAACTAGTTACTACAGAATGTGTGGCTCCACTATCAACTAAAAAAATCTATTATCTCATTCCCCAGCTTAACTGGAACCAGAGGATTGGCTGGGGAGATTTTAATAGATTCCTCTGGTCCCTTCAGTGTAACCTGATTTCTGTCATTAATTCAATAGCCTCCTGTCCTGGTTTCAGCTGGGATAGAGTTAATTGTCTTCCTAGTAGCTGGTATAGTGCTGTGTTTTGGATTTACGATGAGAAGAATGTTGATAACACTGATGTTTGCAGTTGTTGCTAAGTAATGTTTAGTCTAAAGTCAAGGATTTTTCAGCCTCTCATGCCCAGCCAGCAAGAAGGCTGCAGGGGCACAAGCAGTTGGGAGGGGACACAGCCAGGGCAGCTGACCCAAAGTGGCCAAAGGGGTATTCCAGACCATGTGATGTCATGTCTAGTATATCAACTGGGGGGAGGGAGGGTAGGGGGATCGCCACTCGGGGACTAACTGGGCGTCAGTCAGCAGGTGGTGAGCAATTGCATTGTGCATCACGTGTATATTCCAATCCTTTTATTATTACTATTGTCAGTTTATTAGTGTTATCATTATTATTATCAGTTTCTTCTTTTCTGTTCTATTAAACCATTCTTATCTCAACCCACAAGTTTTACTTCTTTTCCTGATTCTCTCCCACATCTCACTGGGTGGGTAGGAAGTGAGTGAGTGGCCATGTGGTGCTTAGTTGTTGGCTGAGGTTAAACCACAACACCTTTTCTTTCCTCTTTCCCTGATAGAGAGATTAGGACATTTCTTTTTCCAATGTCCCTCCTGTCTACAATATGCACGTTGATTTGCTCCTAAAGGGGTGTTGTAATTTTCTCTATTGTAGCTTCCCTGTCTTCTTCTCCTTCCTTGAAATCCACTTTTTCCACATCCCTTTCCTTGCGTTCTACTTCTCCCATCATTTAGGGCAGCTAGTAGGGGTGTCTGGATTTTGGCCCATCCTTGTTTTTCCTTCTCAGCCTCCTCATCTCTATTACTGTATGCTTTATATGTAATGGATAATAACTGTGAAATTGTCATTCCATCTGCCCCTTCTATTTTTGTAGGTTTTTTTTCTAATATCTATCACAGCTTGACTGATAAACAACATATTAAACAACTTCAAATTACTGGGATCTTCTGAATCTAAATCAGTCCATTTTTGTGCCACTTCACACAATCTCTCATGGAAAGCAGAAGGGGTCTCTTTATCCCTTAGTCTGTCTTCATATAATTTGGATAAATTTTTAGGTTCCTGTACACTGTGTTCAATTCCATATAAAACAAATTTTCGGTACTCTCTTAGTCTTTCCGTTCCTCCCCCCATATTAGGGTCCCAATGAGGATCTTCTTTTGAGAGGTAAGTGTTCATATTAGGTACTCCCCCATGCCATTGGGTCACTCCTCCAGCTTTTTCTAAAACTGTTCTTCTTTCTTCAGTAGTGGACAAATATTCTAAAAGGGCCTGTATATCTCCCCAATTATGAGTCATCATCACAGTTTTGATAGTACTATGCATCCCTTCAGGATTGCTTTGATATGATCCAACCACCTGCTTCCAATGTAATAAATCAGAGGTTGTAAATGTACGTGTACATATACTGGTGTTCCTTCTGGTCCCACCAGTTGTCTAAGGGGACCCTGCACTACAGGTTTCTGTTGTCTTGTTCTTCCTGAGACTGGACTCATATTATCGCTTTCTTCATCACTCGAACTATTTGCCTCTGAATTCTTAGGGAAGGATACTAGTAATTGTACATCCTCTTCATTTTCTACAGTGTCAGATTTTCCACTCCCACGTTCAGTACAACAATATTTAGTTCCTTTTTCTTTTTTTTCTTTCAATGCATATGTAGCAATTTGATGTTTAGAATGTAGTAACCCACATTTCTTTCAAACATCCCAATCATTTCTCAAAGTAAAGAATAAATCAACATAAGGTACCTCATCCCATTTTTCAGTCTTACAACAAAACAACATTAATTGTAATATTGTATTATATTTCAAAGATCCATTTTCTTATCACTTCTCACCATCCTCTAACTGGTATTGTGGCCACCACTGATTTCAATAACATTTTAATTTATCTCTTGTCAGGGCATCCCCACCAAATTTATTCCAATTCTTTAGGATGCATCCTAAGGGAGAGCAGGAGGGTACTTACTGGGAAGCAGTAGCGCCCATTTTGGTACCGAAAAGAATTTACGAGGGACGTCTCCCTTCATCTTCTGCTGTGTATCCTCCTTGATATGTCTTATGCAGAATCCAGTTTAACCAAATGCTAACCAAACAAGGGACATCTCCCTTTGTCTTCTGCTGCATGTCCTCCTTGATATGTCTTATGCAGGATCCAAATGCTCACTGCTTTTCTGTAGTCTTCCTCTCCCCCCTTTTTTCTCATATTCAAAAAAATACCTCTTTTCAGTAGCATTGCACCATTGTGTTGCTTACCACCCGACCACAGGAGAGGAGCCAATGGAGTCCCTGATCAACAGGTCGGCGTGTGCTGGAGTCCACTCAGGTCTCTTCTCCCTGTCGGATGCGGCAAGACAAACCGGGCAAGGGTGTCAGCGCAGTCCCATCTGGGTCGCCAGAAAACTGTTGTCCCACAAACGGGGTTCGTTTACCTGGTGTGCAAGCCAGTAACACAGAGTCGAGGTATTTTCCAACTAATTTCATTGATGCACATGAATGGGTGCCTGTCTCAAGGCAGCACACCCTTGTCTCAAAAATTCTCATATTTATACGCTTAACTGATACATATTCATTGTTATTTTCCTTAATGATTGGCTCTTTCTTCTTTGCCCCTCATGTAAATTAGTGTGCAGACTCTGTCTTCTTCCTTCACTGTCTTCTTTTAAGTAGGTGGTATCATTTGAGTAGGTGGTCAATGAGTCAGTGGTCACGATCTCCCCCTGTAGGAATTACCTTTTACCTACTTCTTCCCTAATCTTGGTAGTTCCAAGTGGTTCTTCAAGGTTTATTGACCAGATCACAATCCAGTACCTTTTCTGGCATAAACATGAAGCCCCATTGTCTAGTAGTTAGTTCCTAAACCCTAAATCATGTCTAGTTATTGTTTCCCTATTTTAAATATTAACTGATGGGGGTTGTACACAGGACTTCAGCAGCTCCCTGGTTATTCCAATCATATTACATGTATTAACTAATAACAGTAGTGGGCTTTTGTGTCCATACATCAATAAAGAGGTTCAAATGCGCCTCTTCCTTGAACTGTAATTCTGTCGTCTTTCTCCTGTTATGGTGTGAGCTCAGCTCCATATTTGGCAATACCAATTATCCATATGTTTGTCAATGAACTTACACTTAATTTTCATTTATAATTAAACGTTAGAATTACCTGATTTTTTTAAGTGTACTTAAGTAGTTTGGACTGTTTTCTATCCATTATTCTTGTAATTCTAAATGCGCTTATATAATACTGTGTTTTTTCATGTTCTGAAGCTGACACACCTCATAATTTAGCAGTTATTGTTGTGACTTTAACTTTTAAAAGTATGAGATCATATACTTTTCTATGCATAAATATCATGTTTCAAAGGAAAAAGTTCATCAAATTAATTGTCAGCTTTCATTTAATTCTTTTGATATATCCTTGGCTACAAGCATGACAGTATGTTTTGCTCTGCTTTTTTCTTGCATATTCATGTTTTAAATCAATGTTCATAAGCTGATCTTATGGCTAGGAAGAAAAGCATTCTGCCCTATGACATACTCTGAATTTATATGAGCTGCAAACAGTATTTCAGTCATGTAAATGCATATAGGGCCTTATAGCCTACCTAGAAACAGGACTGGCAATTCCTAAATTTTACACTCTAGATACCAATAGTGAACATTAACCTGAATTCTTAAGGAAGAAATAAGTGTCTGGTAGTCCAGAAATACTTACAGGAGAATAAGTACTGTATGTACTTCATAGGAGTTTCAGTAAGCTTAAATATTTTATATTCAATATATTGGATTAATAGTGCTATGACCCTTTCTTGTCCAAGAAAAGCGGTATTGGAAAAAATAGGGATCATAAGAGATTAATGTCCTGTGGCTTTGGGAGTCTAGAAGCTAGCCATCATATAGGCAAGAACTTTTTAGTCTCTTGTTCTTTTATAGGACTTTAGCTAGAAGTAGATAATAATCTGTTTTGAAAAGTCTTGGAAGAAAAAGTAGTGTTTGAATTTTGTGTTGCACTTACAGTAACTAATAGTAGTTGTAGTCTTTGGCTGTTTCTGCAGAAACATGTCAAGAGAACTGAGATTACATGAGGTAAATTCAAAGGCTTCAAGCAAAAGCATCTAGCGTTACTTTCCATTGCTGATGTCTTTGAAAAAGTCTAAATTTACCAAAACCCTTCACAGTACTGCTAGGCCTATGTGGACTCCTGTATTTATAGCATGCTTGCAATTAAAACTCACTAAGACAGGAAAACAGACTGTTTGCTTGCTGTTAGTCAACAAATGGAAAACTCTAGCATCCAGTCTTGGGGCATGTGCTTAAAGTTGTGAGTGTGTTTTATAGGAATACACATTACAGTAAGGAACACAGAAGTTGATTCCAAGGCAATCTTTGTTTCAGATGATTTGAGTAAGAAGCTAAAGCCATTGGTTGAGGAAGAAAGAGAATTCATTTTAGATTTGAAGAAGAAGGAGTGTAAGGAAAGAAACTTTGATTATGATGGAAAAATCAATGCATGGGATCTTCATTACTATATGAACAAAACAGAAGAGCTGAAGTACTCCATAGATCAAGAAAAGCTGAAGGAATACTTCCCAATTGAGGCTGTTACAGAAGGCTTACTGAATATTTACCAGAAGCTGCTGGGACTTGTATTTGAACAAGTAGAAAGGGCTCATGTTTGGCATGACAGCGTTACTCTTTATACAGTAAAGGATAATTCAACAGGAGAAATGTTAGGGCAGTTCTATCTGGACCTTTACCCCAGGTAATTATGACTTAGTGTTTTACTTATGTGTTTAAAATGGAATTGGTCTTGGTGGGTTGCTGGTGTGGTTGAAATTAAATGCATTTGGAAGTAAATATTTGTCCCACTGGTGAGACTATTACTGTGTTCATGAAGTTGTCCTCTGGACTGTTTTCAGACTGTTTATGCTTCTTTCTCTTTTTTGCAGTACCACTGTGTTTCCTGCTTATCTTCAGTTTATGAAGCATTATTACTTTATTCATTTCTGAAGTATTGCTGTCTAGTCAGTTGTCCATAATTTTTTGCCTCTCTGAACTTTTCTCCTTCCTCTAATACTGTGTTTTACTTTTCATTTATGCTGAACTGTTATGCAGTCTGTTCAGATCTGTTCAGATCAATTATATTCCTACCTGCCAAGTGTTGCTGGTTTCTCCCAGTTCTTTACACTTTATGTGTGTACTTTGTACCCTGTTGTCCAGACTGCTAAAGAAACTATCAAATAGATTAGGACCAAGAATAGACCCCTGTTGAGCACAGGTTGACGTCTGTAGCTCTCCATCTCTCTTTGTAGCTATTTATAGCATCATCTGTGTTCTGTCAGAGATTAGGAGACTAGACTGATTTGACAAGATTTATTCTTAGCTAGTCCTTTTTGACTGTTTCTCACTATTTTGTTTGTGTTTGGGTTTTAATTATTCTTTAGCAGTTTATAAATTGGCTGACACCTTTTATAAATATAAACTGATTTAAGGCTTCTCTGGGTTAAGAAAATTAGGTTAGTCAATACAATAGCACATAAATTGTGCTTTTTAAGACAGGCACAAGTTATCTTTTTCACCTGTTTGCCTGCTCCCCCCTTTCTGCATATCATGTGAATTGCTGAAGCTATTTGTTAGTAAGACTATTCTGACTTAACTACCAAGTTAACTACTCAGGTTTAGGGCAAAAATTTCAAAATCATTTTTCTTTAAACTTTTGCATCACACTGAAAATGCAGTAAACTGTATTATTTCCTGTAATAAAAGAAAAAGTTCTGCTTCAGAGGACAGAACCTAGTCCTTCCTGTTACAGCAGCAGTTTAAAATAGACTTGACATCTAAAGTATATATACTTTCAGTATTTGAGTAAAAATCAGATTCTTGTAAATGCTGCTGTGAATCATGTGAGTTAAGTACTGGGTGTTTTTCCCCCTTGTGCTCTTAACAGGATCTTAAACTTAGTGAGTCTCAGAAATCATGAAAAGGTGTAATTTCTTTATGTAAAGCTTTAAAGAGTCAGATAAAAAATAAAAAATCAATCTGACTGATTGTCCCTGTTCTGGAATAGGCTTTGCCATTCTGGTGAGCAGACTTGTGGTTTGAAGATAGTGTCTGATATATTTTTTTACGCAGAGAGGGAAAGTATGGGCATGCAGCATGCTTTGGTCTCCAACCTGGCTGTCTTCTCTCTGATGGCAGCAGAATGATGTCTGTAGCTGCTCTGGTAACCAACTTCACAAAACCAGCATCAGATCACCCATCATTGCTGCGACATGATGAAGTAAAGACTTACTTTCATGAATTTGGTCATGTAATGCATCAGATATGTGCACAGGTTAGTGACGTTTCAATTCCAGTGTAAGACTTCTTCACTGTCTCAAAGCAAGGTGTAAGTCTATTTTGGTGGTTTCTAATTTTAATAAAGTACCTATGCAGTTTTTTGGTTATTTTTCAAAGTGACAGGTTGGGGGTTTTTAGCTTTTATTTGAAACTACAGCAATGAATACACCCTCTTATGAAAAAACTGTTCATATGAACATATACTTTTGCCTTTGCACCATGCAGATACCTGTGATGAGTGAATAGATCCATGTGTAAGGTAAAGAAGGTGCTCAGTAGTGGCTTCTGTTACAGCTGTCAGAGGGCTTTTTATTACTTCTAGTAGCATGCCAGATACTAGAAGCAGAAAAAGGTTGCTGTACCTAGGAATGCAAATAATTTGTGAATCCAGATCACCTCCAGTTTTTTAACACTTAGTACTCTTGAGACCTATCACTCTTGGCATCAAAAGCCTAAAACAGGTCTTGCCTGAGCTATTTTATTTTCTGCTCTCCTATCTGACAGTCAGGGTCCTCAGGGTGACCAGAAAGCATTGAAGCTAGTCTGCAGATTTTGCATCAAGATGTCAATAAAGTTGTAAAATTGCTGGTTCCGTTTTTACCTACATGTAAAACTGATTCCGCCGGATGATAAATCTATTATTGACCTAATGAAAATTTTACGTTTCAGAGAGACAAGTCTCAGTACTCATTCACCAAAAATTTTGCTTAATTATCTACAAATCCAGAATTTGTGTAGCACTGCTTTCATCTTCTTTATAAACAAGTACCAAATAATAAAATCAGAGAAATATGACACATATTAGATTTTAATTCTTGACCTTGATCCTAGAGGCTAGGACTGCAGAATAAAGAAACAAAGTCATAGAAATCTGTATACTAAATTCAAAATTAAACAAATTATGTTGAAGCAAACTTCAGAACAAGTAGCTAGACTGGCTGAGATATTTTTGCATCATGTTGAAGGTAAAAATATAATGATTATTTGATCATCTTCACCATAAAACAGGTGTTTCTGAGGTCAAAAATTGAGAAATATAACCTGTACTTTCTTTTAAACTACCTAGAAGGTGTGTATAAATGGGACACATTCAGCATTCGTACAAAATTGACCACAACGTTTTGATAACCAATGAGGATGTGCCTGAGTGTTGCAGAGCCCCTTCTGGGCAGCCCAAGCCAACAATTCCAATGCATATGTACTTCACTTGCTGTGGAATTGCCCACAGGTCAGGGAGGCCTGCTTTCCAGTTGTCTCTCCTACTGCTGACGTGGTTTCCGTGTGCATAGCTACAGTGCTTGCTGCTGTTGTATTTTATGTAAGTTGTTATTTGCACACCTGCAAAAAACTTGCTAGTCCTACATAAGAACACCCTGTCCTCTGGGACTTGTGTATACAAAGCACTATCTTGTTTCATATGATGATTTGTTTAAGCATGTTAAAACTTGACATTTAAAGGGTATGTGGTCATCAGACTGGGTGGGAATCTGGGAGCTGCTGGTAAAGGTCAGCTTTTGGCAACTGATACTCCTTGTAATGTACTGGGGGTGTGCTGGAAAGCGAGGTGTCAGGGCAGGGAAGAGATCTGTTTGTGCTGTTAGGGAGGGAGAGCTATTGAACCAAATGTCTTAATATTTTTTGTTAGCATGGTGCACTTGTGTATGGGTAAATGAGGATATCTGAGGGCCATAAACCCTTGCCCTCCTCTTGCCTTTTGTTCTAGTTACTTCTATCACCATTTCTTCCCATATGATGCTTCCTAGCTTTTCTTCATAGCTGCTATTCAGCAAGTACAGTAAGAAGGGCCAGCTTGCTACAACTATGGATTTGAGTAACCCACAAGTGTGAATAAAGGCAAATATCTTCTCCTTTTCTGCTCTTCTTCTGAAGACACGAGAGGAAGATGTATGCATGTGACTTAGCTGTCAGTTCAATGTTAAGTCCTATATTATACATGCTTTTTTTTTTTGTAACCCTGCAAGACAGTAAGTTCAAAAGCCAGTACTCCTGTGGGCATCTATTCCCTGATGGAGGATGGAACTTAAAAATAGCTACAACTCTTAAAGAGGGCATTTAGGAAACTGGGAATTCCCTTTTACTTTTAGCACTTGAAATGTTTTGTTAGAATGTTGCTGAGAAGGGAAGAGTAAGAAAATTGGGTTGGTGAGAAGAGGTAGGCTTATTACAGGACAAGTGTGGAGTGAGATAGAATAATTTCTGTTGGCATTTGAACAACTGTCTTTCAAAAGTTACTTTATTTTTAGGAATGTTTTGGGTTTGGAATATATTTTAATTAAGATTTTTAACTGTACAAAGATTTTCTTCAAAATTAGTATCTGAGGGGGCTTTTAAAACATGAAGTGGTTGATAATACTAAAGTAAAAAATAAAAAGCTCTAATGTGCTTGGCTTTCAGAAGGAAGATTCTTCTATCAGTGATTTGAGTGTCAGATCTGGAGACCTTTCATGGATAAAGTTGCTAGGATTCATTTATTTCAGGCCATGTATTACCGGCTCAAAAAATTGTGCTATATGTTAACCATATGCCTTAAGAATGAAGACAGTTAGGACAAAGCTTAATAGGATAAGTTGGTCAAGTAAAATCTTTGTATTGGTGCAGTAGACTGTAATACAACAACTATTTTGTAAGTGTATAATTGGACTTTATTTTAGTTTGGGGTAGTATAACAAGATTTTATAATGATTTACAAATTATATCATTGTCATAAGACAGCACGGAAACATTTTCATTGCTGTCATAATCTAAAAGGTAAAAATCAATAATAATAAGAAAACTGAAGTACTGTTTCACACCAGCAGAGAATGCAGTAAATAACTATTGAGTACTTTATTTCATTGCTTGGTGATAGTCTTATATCTGAATTTTTGCCCTCCTTTCTTTAAAATGAATTTTGTTGTTATCATTGACGTGTTCAAATGATTCCTTTTGCTGTGATTAACACTGAAATTCTGACATGTGAAAGTTTATATTTTGCTAGAATTCTTGGCTTCTATTTTTGTTTAACACAATGGCTTTTCCTTTTAGACTGATTTTGCTAGGTTTAGTGGAACTAACGTGGAAACAGACTTTGTAGAAGTACCTTCACAAATGTTTGAGAACTGGGTGTGGGAAAAAGAACCTCTACAGCAAATGTCAAGACATTATAAAGATGAGAGCCACGTTGGAGTTGCTCTCCTTGAGAAACTTGCTGCCTCTAGACTGGCTAATACAGGTATATCTCTGCCCTCTCTCTCCACAGTATATGTATAAAAATGTATCATTTAAAAAATTGGTGGGAAACATTAAAGACAAACATAATAAGCCCATTACATTTCTTCTGTGTGTACACTTACCACTGTCTTTCTGGGTTGATTTGTGTGGGTCCCACCACTAATAAAGGCTATGATGACAGATACCACTATTTGCAGGAACAGTAGCAGCTCTGATTTTCCAAGCTACCCACAGGACTAAAATACCTTTGCATTCCTCTCCATGTGACTTTTTTTACCTACCAACTTTTCTTATTTAAAATTGGGGGTGATGGGGAAGATCCTGGGTTTTCTGTTGTTTTTTTTTTCTGGTAGCCCAGGGCAGGCACTGTGAATGAATGCAATATCAGATTTTCTACATGTATCATCTACATTTGATTTGCATGTGACACTTGACAGACATGAAAGTTGTTTGCTAATTTACTGAACATACAGAGCATATCCCACACAGAAGTGTTGTAGCCCTGCATTGCTCAAACAGCCTCTTAACTTCTCAATCCAGAAACTTAAAATCCATGTTCTCTACCCTCCCGGCAGATATACTGCCCTCCCAAACTAAGGTCCCAATTCTCTTCTCCTTCCACGTCTTGTACCACTTTACATGTATCTCCAAACTGAGACTGTAATCTCATGTCATTACTTATCATCTCATTGTTATTCTGTCACTCTCAGCCCTCTGTCCCTGTAATCAGGACTCCCCCAATATCATAGTCTTACCTGTTTATGGTACAATTTGTCATTAAGCCACTGCTGTTTATTTCATACTGCTTCCCTATGCTGAACAAGAAGTCCTTGTCCTTCTGGCTTGTACAGGCACTGTAGCTACATAAGCATTTTGTCTGAGTAAAAGTTCATATCTTGTAGCTTCTTCAAAAAAGGCTTACAGCAGCACAGCAGCAGTTCTTGCTGTTCTTTGAAGTGTCTTAGGATAGATATACTTACTATCATCTGTGCAAGCCCTGAATGAAATGGTATACTGGAAGTAAAGACAGCTGAAAACATAATTTTATATACTGAAAGTTGCTTTTATAATACCTGCTTTATTTTGGTTTTCATCTGTGAGGAAAATGAGGTTTGAAAAGAAGGAGGTCATAATGACAATTCCTTTATTAAAAATATGTCTCTCAACTTTTTATAACTGAAGCAATTCAGATGGAAATGACATAACACCAAATTTTTTTTCCATGATTAACATTCTAGTAGTTTAGGATGCATGTTCAGATCTTTGAGTGAAAGGTGCTAAAGAAACTCCAGCTACTTTGATGCTAGTTGATTAAATGTTCTTACCCAATTAGGCCTTTTAACCCTCCGTCAGATTGTTTTGAGCAAAGTTGACCAGGCACTGCATACAAAGCCATCTGTTGACCCAGCAGATGAATATGCTAAATACTGTATGGAGACTCTAGGAATTCCTGCCACCCCAGGTATGTCAGTATGAAGCTTTTATAGGGCATGTCCAAATGGTTTCGTTAAACGCGCCTTTCTTTCCCAATAATGCGCGGCATAGAAAAAACTAGAGTTGTTTATAAAAATCTACTTTATGAAGCCAAAATAATTACTTTGAAACTTGGGGTAATCTTAATCGTCTCTTCTGAAGGAAGATTAAGGTAAATATAAAACTTAACCTTTTGCAGGTTGTATTTTATGGTGACATGATGTGAATACCACTTCAGATGTTTGGTCACGTCTGTGTTGGATGTGCAACTAGTCTAAAATGGGAAATTGAGTTTCCTTTGTAGTCAACAGAATACGGCCAATACTTTGAGGCATACTTAGACCCTTTATGTTAGAAGTTTCAAAGTAGTTGATATAAATTCCTTATTAATTTACTATTAAAATTGAAATACTGTATACATCAAACAAATAACTGCATCTGATTTAAATAAATTAATGTTAATCTACTTTTCAAGGAACAAACATGCCAGCTACTTTTGGACATCTGGCAGGTGGTTATGATGGTCAGTACTATGGATACCTGTGGAGTGAAGTGTTTTCCATGGACATTTTTTATAGCTGCTTTAAGCAAGAAGGAATAATGAATCCAAAGGTAGGTGATGAATACTTTTTACTGAAGACTTTTGTTGCACTCTGTCTCTGAAACCACATTTATTGCAACCATGAACCATAGGTATAACATCTCAAGTACTTCTTCTGTACCTGTCAAGTTCAGATCAACAACAAAAAGGTATAGAAGTAACTTAACTACTTTAGAAAATAATCTTAAAATTTCCAAGAGCACTTGGATTTTAATATAATTGTTACAGTCATATATTTAATATTATATTATGACACTTTAAAGACATTGTGTTGCATTGACTAATGCCTTCCTCTAACTTTAGACTGAAAAAAAATATTCCTCCATTGCAAAAGCAGATGCATATTCTTCTGCTGTGAAAGCTGTATGATAATGGTGCTCTATTTCTATTAATAGTACCTCAAGTGTGTGATACTTTTATGTAGTTATTATTTAGAAAACTGAATTTATTTTGAGCTTTCTCTTTCACAGCACAGCATAACTTGCCAATTTTTTCCTCTGTAGTTTTTCTCCCAAGCGGCTTTTGAAGTTCAAATCATTGACAAGTTCTAGATTTACTGGCCTTCTTTACCCTTGTGCAATTCTTCAGCCTCTTCTGTCTCCAGTGGAAAGAAAGGATAGTTAGTGATGTGGTTAGTAGTCCTGCCAATTCTGGCAATCTTTTTTATTTTTCAGAGATTGTAGTGTTAGACTTGTGAGTTGAGATGCTGCATTTCTATCATTGGAAAGACCTTTCAGTTTTCCTGATCCTCTCATCTGTACTCTGGATTCAGCAGCCAGCACTAGTTCTTCCCTTCAGTAAATGTATACAAGAGAGAAGTAAAGGAGAGGGTAGAGTAGAAAGTGCTTGACTTCCGTGTTCCTCTCCTGGAATTTGCCTTCATTCCTCCCTTTCCTTATCACAGCAACCAGAACTTCTAGAACTGTCCCTCCCTCTAGAGGGTGGAGAAACAAGATTAGACTTTGAGCAGGACAAAGAGAGGAGTCCAAAGAGGAGACAGGGATAGGGACTAGAAAACCGAGACAGTGGTTAGGCCACTGGATTTTATTAAATCCAAAGGGGTTTTATGAAGAAAAGCAGCAAACTGAGTAGTTTGAGAGGAGAGGTGATGAAAGATTTGGAGGTCAAGACTGACTTTGAAGTGCTAGGGATTCATGACAGGTACATGTGAGAATAAGCATACCTGCTTATTCAATGGCAATGTTGTCACTCATAAATAAAAGCAGGAGAGAAGAAATGGCAAGTTAAATGAGAGAAGAAAATAACTTTTTAATAAAATGCTGTTCATGTGGATCTTAAAAGTGGCATTTGGGGAGGGGTCTGACTTGCTGGTTTTTTTAAACTCCTAGCAGTTGGGAGAGATGGATAAGGGTGCTAGTGCCAGACTTGTGGGACTTTGTGTCCATTCTTTGTTCTGACACATGCACACCGTTCCAGTGTTATCACAGACTTTTCTTCTGTTAGCTTTACTCCCTACTCTCAAAACTCTTTTCTGAGTGATTGTATAGTCAAAACCCTAAGCTATGGTTTGCCAGAATTGCTCTGTGACCTTTACTTTTCCTGAGGGATTAAAGTGCCTTTTATTCTGATTTTTTTGGTGGGGATTTTTGTTTTCTTTGTCTGTGTATAGGAGGCTTTGAAAATAAGTGAATTGTACCAGGAGTGAATATTTGCTGTGGTTCAGCTACAAGGCAACTAGTGCCTCTTTTAATGTGAAGCCTGCTATCCAGGCTAAAGAGTGAGGAACAAAAATGATTATATATGTGTGTTTGTGTGTATGACTCACTCTCTAGCATATATGTGCACGCACACACTTTGCTTGAATGCTAATATAACTTCAGGGGTAACTGTGGAGAGTTTCCCTCTCTCTTCAGAGCAATGCTATCTTCTCAAATTGGTTCTCTTTCAACTTGCTTTCATTATTTGCATTCCATGTAAGTGTAATAGAGTTCCACAGGATGGGACAAACAAAATAAAAAAATACTAGATACCAATATGATTTTTGTAGTTACTCATATTTCATTATATCTACATTTAGACTACTCTTCAGAACAGCAGGAAAGGAAAATATTTATGGTATTACAACTAGAGCTTTTAGAAATTTGGCTTACCTCTTCCTGTTAGAATAAAACCTCCCTTCCTGTTTTGAGCAACAGTTATAGAAACTAGTTTCAGAGACTATATCTATAAAAGCTCTTCAGCAAACACTTAACTCTAACTTAATTGGCTGTCATGCTCCTTAATTCTTGCACAGTATCTGAAATATCCTCTGGTCTCCCTAGAACTGAGCAATGCTCTGGCTCTGGAGAGACAACAGGAAAGAAAGACTCAAGTCTACTCAAATAATGCTTTTAAACTACAAGGAATAATATCTTCATTTGCTGCTGATGTTCAGGAAACTAGCACAAATAGTGAATTATAAGCCATGCTTCAGTGAAATTTTTTTTTTTTTTTCATTTTAGTTTTTTCCAGCTGTAATTCAGACAATGAGATTGGTAATGCAATTAAGTCATGCTTGTTTTTGCAGTACAGCTATCAGGAAGCAGTGTGGTCCTGTAATCTCATAGCTTTGACATGGGGTGGAAGTATATATGTGTATATACAGTGACTAAAAGGAAGAACATTGTTTTCTTCAGTGTCAGAAGCATCTAGGACATCTGCATGTGAAATAATATTTTCTAATTCATAATCATGTCTCAGAAGCCCAGAACTTTCCAGATGTGTTCTTTAAAACATGACTTGTTGTTAAGAAAGTCCTCATTACTTACTATTGTCTCAGAAGCTTGGTTCATTCTTTTTAAAGGAATCCATTCCTTCCGAAGTAATGTTTCTTCCTGAAGATAAAACCTGAGTGACGTCTTCATTACTTTAAGATACTTTAATAAGAGAGTTAGATGTGTTTGTATATATTATATATACTACTATACGTATGTGTATATGTGCAATGTCATTCCTCAGTGATACATATATCTCTGAACTGTCATCTCTGTTCTCCAAACAGAGATTCAAGAAAGAGAGAACATCAATTAAGTGAGAATGGATGTTAGGTTCCCTTTTCCTGCCAGTCAGTCATGTGGATAATCCATCACTGAAGACCATGTGGAGGTTGTGTGTGTGTTATGCTTTATAGAATGTCTTCCAGACAAGTTGTGGTTGCAGCTTCCAAAACAGTGTAAAACCACAAGAAAAATGGTTTCTTTGAGAATAGGTTAAATTTCTGCTTTCCTGAGTTCTTCCAGCAGATCTAAATTATACTTGTGGTGTATTATGATTTGGTATTAAGAAATTCTGGAAGGAGGGAAGGTTTTAATCATGAGTAGGTTTTTAAATAAGCAACAATTACAGAAAAGAAGCAGTTTGCAAGATAAGAAATGCTAACATTCTGCTTTACCTTTTATCAGGCTGGGATGAAATACAGAAACCTCATTTTGAAACCTGGAGGATCTTTGGATGGGATGGATATGCTACAAAATTTCTTGGAGCGTAAACCAAGCCAGAGAGCTTTCCTATTGAGTAAGGGATTATGTGTTCAGTAAAATTGTGGTTCCTTTGTAATGGCATATAAGTATGGAATGAGCTAGAAATGTCAGTGTATTTCACATCATAACTGTATATCACTCTAGGGAAACTGGTTCACTTTTTGATGATTTTTTAAAATTGTTTAAATAAAAATGTCATTTTTTAAAATTGCATAGGACTGCAAAATTCAACACATCAGGGAAAAAAATTCTGAGATGTGCAGAAGCTGAGGAATTTGGATGGTAATTTTTTTTAATTGTTATGAAATAATACTAATCAGTATGGGGAGTTGATGCCATGTTTCTCTTTTAATAGATGCATTTAAACTTTGTCTTGTGAACAGATTTTAAAACTGGAGGGGAAAAAAAGGACACTACCAGCAATAAAAGAAACAGATTCATTATTATTCTGTGTTCTTCTATTGTATTGACGGCTCACCAATGTCTTTGATGGAGGGGAAGTGTGTTTGATTTCATCACGGTTTGGGTTGAGTTCTAGCTTCCTGACAAATTTCCTGAGAACCTGTTCCAGACAGCTTTACAGCAGAGATGCTTGTGTGATACTTTTAGCCTTCATTCTGATACCCATTAAATTCTTGTAACATTTATAAACTTATACAGGATAATTGAAAAGAAAACAAACCTACCATTTGAGCTACGACTTTCTTCCCTTCATTGAGGAAAACCAGCCAAAGTCTATGACCTTGGCAGTTCTTCCACCACGTTTTTGTTGATGATCACAAATGAGGTCTTTGTTTTCCAAACTGTATCAACATCAACACCAAAAAGTTATACTTGAGCAATTATAATGGTTTCAGTTGGTTTGTGAAGTATTTTGAGATACATATAAGGAAGGAAGGGAAGAAGATGTCTGGTGGGAATAGTAAAAGTCAATCCAAGATTTTCCTATTCCTTTACAGTGTAGCATGCAGAGGTGCTTCATTAAAGCTTCATAGATTTAATGATTTCAGCTGTGGGAGTGTGAAAGTAATTGAGGAGTTATTTTGCATTTTTTTCTGCAAGATCAGGAAAAGAGAGTCTTACAAGCCAAGTCTACACCATCCAAATAAAACTGCTAATCCAAGTGCACTTTCCTTGTCTTTAGATATCATACCCTACTTTGGTTTTGGTATTACAACATGTATATGAACAAACTTTAATTTTGATTATTAGCTAATATATTTTAGGCATTTGAACCATAGCTGTAAACATGGCTGTTATTTTTTATTTGTTTATTCAACCACAAAGTAAGAATATGTGCCTGGTCAACTCAAAAGACTTCCTCTTTCTCTAGCAAATGAAAACAGAAGGCATTCACTTTGGGTCAAATCTGTCTATGTGTTTCAGGGGGAAAAAAATGACAATTGTGAATGTTCAGTGGAAACTTTATTTCTATGTGTTTTTCTTTTAAAGCATTTAAACTGGGAAAAAAAGGGAGCTTAATTAGTGTCTGAATTGGAAAATTTGACAGGACTTATTTTTGAGCCACACTAGTTATGCATGTGAGGAAACATAAATATTTGTAGCCAAAACATATTAACTACGTAGGTTTAACAGACCACATAATTAAGTCAATTCTAACTCTCATAGTTACAGTTTTAGACCCCAGTTCTGCTGGGTCATGAAAAGGCAATATGTGAAAATCACATATGAGAACACCTTGAACAGTATTCAGAATAGCTATAAAGGAAAGCTGAGGAAACTGAGGGATGCAAGATTATCTTAAAAACTGTGAATTTTGCCTAGATTAATTTCCCATACATTCTGACTGAATTTGGAATTATTTTGCTTTCTTTTTAAACATGTTTAAGATCTTGTGATCCTATCTTATCAAAGGTTTTTTTCCTTTCACACTGTAATGATAGCTCTGATAAACTAAAATGTTGTAAAAAATATACTAATTGATACTTGCCAAAAATAAATCTGCAAATCTAAGCAATGGAACCTTTATGAAGAAACAAAATGCAGTTTTTATTTTACAGCTGGTAGGCAGATTTCCACATGAGGGAGACCTTTCTCTGTGTAAACCAGCAGTCTCAGATCAAGGTAGATAACTGCAAGTGTAGTAACTATAAATGAAAATATGTGATGATTAAAAGTTATATGATGATTTAAAAGTTAGATTTATGACAGTACTGATACTAATGATGATCATTTGACTTGTTTATTTTCCTGTTCTTTAGAATGTTTGTGTTACACAGTATATAGCAAGAAAGATACTGAAGTGCAGGAGAATGTCTGCTGTTACATGTATGTGAAAATGCTTACATATTGTACAGTTATGTTAGCATCAGCTTGATATCCATGTGTGTAGGGAGGAGAAAAACCTAAACCACATTGTGACCACAAATGAAAGTGTTACATGCTGTACCTGTGCCAAAGAATAGGGTTTTTTATAATTTGTTTTTGAGAAGCCAGTTCCCTCCGTCTGCATCAGGCAATAATTAAAGCAGATGATCTTATGGCTAAAACTGCACTCAACACAGAAGACTAATGGGTATGTTCTGAAGTGCTTCTGAAACATCTTAATGTGGTAACATATCTAAGTTGTCTGCTAATTTTCATATTGTCTTCATGGAGCCTTCTGAATCAAATTGGGGTTAGACTAGACAACCTTTGAAGGTCCCTTCCAACCCAAAATATTCTATGATTCTATGAAATTCATGTTCACATTTCTTCTTGTAAAGACCTGATCTTGGAATGGAAAAGATCACCCAGAGAAAGACATTTTTTCTGGTTTTGCACCCCTCTATCATAGGCATGAAACTTGGTCTGTATAGGAAACAACTATTCCACTGACACAATCCCAAGTCTGTGACATAAAGTTCGCCCAAGAAAACAGGGAACACTTCTGCTTTGGAAAAGAGTTAATTGCCTTGACACTGCACAGAAACAATCACATACATTCAGACATGCCAGGAGGTAGGTATCTGGCAAAACCCAGCCTATTCTAGAGTTGCTAGACCCATGCTTCCACTGAATTAAATTTCAAAACAAAAAGCTTGTATTTATTCCAACCTAACTTTAAGTATTCACTGTAATAAATAAAAAAAGTAACTTGTAATCTTAGTCTGTAACAAATAGCTGCCTTTTCAAGTTAGTACTGTATCTTTTTAGAATTTCATTGTGTTTAGGATTAATTTTTTTTCCTCTGCCAGAAATCAAAATTGGACTTTGGCTCCACAACAGAAGCTTCAAATGAAAGGGAAAGCGTAAAGTGGGAGACTTAGGAGAGAGTGGTGGTAACCACTCAGTAAGTGCGTGATAGGCAATGGCTTTCTCATTCTGTTGCTTTACTGCAAAAGATAGAATGGGTTGGTGTCATGCTTTAACCCCAGCCAACAACTAAGCTCCACACGGCCACTCACTCACTTCCTACCCACCCAGTGAGATGTGGGAGAGAATCAGGAAAAGAAGGAAAACTCGTGGGTTGAGATAAGAATGGTTTAATAGAACAGAAAAGAAGAAACTGATAATAATAATGATAACACTAATAAACTGACAATAGTAATAATAAAAGGATTGGAATATACACGTGATGCACAATGCAATTGCTCACCACCTGCTGACTGACGCCCAGTTAGTCCCCGAGTGGCGATCCCCCTACCCTCCCTCCCCCCAGTTGATATACTAGACATGACATCACATGGTCTGGAATACCCCTTTGGCCACTTTGGGTCAGCTGCCCTGGCTGTGTCCCCTCCCAACTGCTTGTGCCCCTGCAGCCTTCTTGCTGGCTGGGCATGAGAGGCTGAAAAATCCTTGACTTTAGACTAAACATTACTTAGCAACAACTGCAAACATCAGTGTTATCAACATTCTTCTCATCGTAAATCCAAAACACAGCACTATACCAGCTACTAGGAAGACAATTAACTCTATCCCAGCTGAAACCAGGACAGCTGGCCATGCAACTGGGTCACAAGATGTGTAGGTGATGGTCTCAGCAGCCCCTGTGGTAGTTGTCTTGACATAGGTCCAGTATATAGGGTGTCTCTGGATTGCCTGCAAGTCATGTAGTCAAACCTAAATGGTAAAAACAGTCTGAAAAAAAGTTTAAAGTTTGCTCTCTCAGCTGTGGTGGCTATCAGTTGTTAACACTGACTTAAAGAGAGTATTAAGATGTAGGGAGTTAATGTTTCTGAGGTAGGTGGAGTATTGACTGTCACTTGAGCTTCTAATACTACTACAGTTGGTTTTCCTATACAAATAGTTCTCTGTTGTATGTTATGATTATCAATGTAACAATATCGCAGAAAAAAACCTTTCTCATTTTAATCAGTAATCAGGGTCAATCAACTGCTGACCTTGTTTGACAAACAATTTTGTTAAACCCTGTTTTAACAAATAATCAGGCAGCAACTAATTCTAATTGCTGTAGTCATTTGGTATGGGAGAAGTAAAATTATTGCAAGAAGAAGTGAATTACAAGGTCAAGATCTCAGCTTCCTCTTTGAAAAATGAAACAATTTCCAGATACCTTTGGAGGTATTGTGGCATAGTCGAGTTAAATGGAATCTCCTGCAGGGGTTTTCCAGAAGTGTAGAGCTGGTTGCATAGTGAGTGGTTACCAACAGGGTTTAAGAGAGGCTAGACATCAGGAGGTTATGTGGAAGCAAAGGAAAAGGAAGGAAAGCAGCAGGTGGAAGGATGAAGTTGGAGAAGGGTATTTTGACAATAGTTGTAGAAGGGCTGGAGTGGATGTCAGAGACAGATGGTAGGAAAAAGGTAGTAGGTTAATGCATACTGATTTATGAAAAGTTGCTAAATGCTTTTCATTGTTTTATGAATTAGAAACAAGACATGCTTGTCTATGGACAGATTTCATGTCTTGTTATTTGCATGCTGAAGAACATCAGATTATGCACCAGCTTGTTGCTTGAATACTTGTGCTCCTTCCTGACATCTGGAGATCAATTTCTGCCACTATTTTCTTTGTGAATATATTTTAAGTAAGAGTTTCCTATGGTGGAAGGAAAAAAGTGCGATGTTATGAGGGAATTAGTGGGGCCTATGCTGGAACTCCTGTATAGCTAATCATCATTAGCCATTGTAAAAAGTGTATATGATATATAAGACATAGTACCAAACAACAATCAACCCATTTTAGACCTAATTAGGGTAGATAAAGACAAATTAATTAAATTAATTGGAAGTTAGTGGTTGCCTAGAAACCAATAATCATGACCTAATTTTGTTCAGTATTGATTAACAGAAGATAGACTCAACCAATACTTGCTTGCACTATACTCCTGAATTAAAAAGGCTAAAGATATCAGTGTGAAGAGAACTAATGAGTAAAATTATTGAAAGAAAAATTGTGAATGAGAAGTGGTATGTCTTTAAAATTCAGTTGGCCCAAATCCCACAATTTCACAACCTAAAATTTTTTGAGAACAAT